CCCAACTAATAGTTGTTTTTTTATTCACGCATAGTTTTAGACCCGTTTTAAAGAGACAATAAAAATTCTTGAATAACAGTTGCCAAAAATAAGCTTACTGATAATGTTCGAAACCATCTGGCATTATTCGCAAAGACCTAAATAGGCCCACTTTTCATTCAAGAACTATAATCCATGCGAGTAGAGAGAGCGCACATAGTTTAACGCTCCAGCTAACCGCAAGCACATGAACGGTAAATCTCTTATCCTAAAAGCTAGTCCTGATAAAGCAAGCCGAGCGAAATTCGCATACGCATACAAGTATATAAACACGAAAATATGCAAGCTAAGAAGAAAGTGTGGTAAATTTGCGTAAATGTTATAATTTCAATGAACACTTATCGCAACAGAACACAAACAGAGCTATTGTGAGCGCATACTCTCTAACGCACCGTAATATTTCCTTTTATATTTGTATATAGGTAAAAATATATGTACATAAACTTCGGCGCTCGTAGGAAAAAACGACGCTCACTCCATAGGCCTACCTACGCACTCAAGACTACGCGCCTGCTAGCGTCCTTGAGAAGCACACTGTGTCTCAATAGACATATTAGTTACCGCCCTTGCGGTTTGCCTTCTTGGTTTGTTAAGAACTGCGTTTCCTACTTACATACATACATTAGCAGTGCGGCTACAATTTCATCCATCATTGAACAATGACGGCGAACCCTGCGCTTTAAATGACCTCAGCACCCTCAGTTGTGTCTCTGCGTTTTATATTCGTTTTAAGGCGAACTGGAGGGCGGTGAGCATAAACGAATTTCGTTTTTTATTGCTTCGTATGCATAAATCCATTTGCTTTAGTGTATCTATGTATGTGTGTGGCGCCTCGAGGAGCACAAAGAGGCAAAGACTAATAGTTTCCAATTGATTTAATTAAGCAGCAAAATGTGACAATGATGAATGCAGCAGTTCTGAGTTCTTTTTTTGCATTTACTTTATGCTCACAATTCTTTTCAAGTGTCTACAAACGAGTTTGTGCATTTAAATAGCTGTTCTTACACCAAATCAAATTGCTGGCTGTTTCTTATGAAAGCAACTGAGTTTCGTTTAAATTGAGGTAGGCAAACCTCAGATGGTCGAGAGTAGCTGTGAGAATGTGTATAATTGTTTGGACTACAGGATTATGCTTGAGTGGCAGTTGTTTTAACAACTTTTGAACGGTGAGGTTACCAATAATAAGGAAGAATCAGTTTCCTATGAGAATTATGTAGATTTTTTTAAGGTGTCTACCAATCAAATTTTGAATGTACAGCGTCTACCGTGTGTTTCTTCACTTCAAATTGTTGCTGTTGAGATGTGTCAAATCCTCGTGTGGTTCAGGAAACGCAATTGTATGCCCCGATATGCCGGCATCATCACGCCTTATTTCTTCCGAAATAAGGCAGAAAACTCCGTTACCATCAATAGCAAGGATTATAACACGATGTTGACTGACTCGGAATTTGATAAAAACGAGGTGGACGATCTCTCTTTCCAACAAGACGGTGCGACGCCTCGTGTTTCACGTCTAAAAATGGACACATTGCGTGCAAAGTTTGGCGACTCGTTAATTTCGAAAAATGGCCCAGTCAAATGGGCGCCAAGATCATGCGACTTAACGCCTTTACCTTATTTTCTCTGGGGGTATGATAAATAAAAGGTTTACCAGCAATACTCAAGGAGCTCGAACACAACATTCAGCGTAATATAGCCGAAATTTTTTACACCCGGTCATCAATCATTGGCGTAAACGGATGGAGATACATATGCCAGCGGAGCTGTGGTGGCATTCATAAATGGCATAAAATTATCTGCATAACTTAAAAAATAACCCATTTTGACATTATGTCGTTCTTATTAGTGTGAAGAAAAAATTGATTTTTTACCCACCCCAATGCTGATATTAATAAGTCACGAAAAAAAATGCGGACTATTTAAAAGGTACTTAATCTTTTAATAGTTTCGAAGAAGACGATTCTTAAAAGTACTCAAAACTTCTAACAGTATTGTGAGATGTATTAATGAAATGTATAAAAAAATTTCAGCTTCCTTTTATAATTTAGCGATTGTCTAATAAAATATATTATTTGTTAAATAAAATGTCAATTATTGTCGTTTATATTGTTTACTTGAATTAGAGACTGATAATGTACTGAATATATCCGCAATATTTTTCATTTGAAATCCAAAATCTACATACACAGAAAAATGAAAGGACGGTCCAAGAATAAAATTCTATAAATCTCAATTTGAGACATGTGGCGCAATAGATTATCAAAAATATTATGATGACATAAATAACTGAATGATAATTTGTGTGAAAAGTTACTCATACCACGGCTCATCGGAAAAACTCTTCTACCACATTACTATATGTATGTATATAAAACAGAAGGTGGTTTGTGTGACACTATATAGTTGAGTTCGAAATTTTATAAAAAATTACAAAACTTTTTTGTCTGACATTAATGGCTTTTTCATATATACATACATATCTATGTGATGAAATCATGTAGAGACATGTATAAAGTGAGAACACACTGCAAATTGATTTATGGCTTGTAATTTCATTTTGAATGTTATCGCTACAATATTTTACATACTAAAAAATTATACCTGCACACAATTTTTGAAAATTCAAATATTTAATAAATTATTCGTTGCAAATAGCATTAATTAATTGTTTAGTCTGATATTATTAATAAAATAATTTCTATGAATAACTTTCGTTTGCTTAATTGTTTTTAAAGGAAAAACGGAAAAAATACCGACAAAATTCTGTCTAAGTTTACTGTTGTGAATTTTCAGAGATCCCAATTGTCAATGAACGTGTGAATGCGTGAAAATAAAATCCTTATGGGACTATTATGGAGCGATAAATTGATTAGATATGTTTGATGGGAAGTAAAAATATATTTGTAGACGTAAGAGTACATGCGAGTGTTTGAAGTGGCGTGTGAATATATGTATGTGCACATACGAGTATGTCGACTTCCAGCAATTGCAATGTTAATTTTATTATAGGGTGTTGACTATAAATTCCCTCCAATCTTTACTGCCGTCACTATCTTGCCATAAAAATCTTTTTTCCTCCAAAAACTGTAATACTCTTCTTCAAGTGTCAGAATGAAGGAGCAGCAGATATGCTGAAGTATTTGTCATATATAAAATAAGCATTTAAGTCAGGATAGGCATGCATGTTCGCTCACAGGAATAAGTATGTATGTGCATGTGTGTCTATTTATATACTAATGTTTAATGATAAGGGTGTATGTATATGTATGCAGAACGTTAGCAATATAGTACGGCATTTTCTTTATGGGCACATAAGAGTCGCTCAAATAAAAGAATTAGGGTGGTTCTCCTTAAACCGAAAAATATAAATAAAACTTTTTTTATAAAATGAAATATAATAAAGGTACTTCTGATTTTATCTTTAAAAACATTTTGACATTTGTTTTTTTACTTAAGTATATATGTATGTTATTATTATAACACATGTTTATATTATATTATATCTATATTTATATACATATGTTTTTTGTTATTTCTGTATTCGTTTGCATTAATATTTTTGTGAACTAAAGATTAAGGATTTCATATTTACCCATAAATTACATTACATTGCCTATAAAAAATTGCCACAAAATGAAGTATTTAGAAATTCCTCACACCCTAATACGCTTGACTTTACAACAACTTGATTTTAGTAATTCTGTTGGGGGTGTAGCTTTGTTTATTACAAAACCAGTGGCAATTAATGATTACTAACCAAAATGAACTATCCAAAAATCAGGATAATTGGTATATAACTCATGGGACATGATGCGAAGTAATAGTAATTAAGCACTGCTAGACTTATATATGCATATATGTTGTTTAAGGATAGGTATATGGCAATATACAAACACATCAACTTAGAAGCAATGAACGAGGATATCTTATTGCTTGTCGAGACTAAATTTTCATGAATAGTGAAGCAAACTATTTTAAATATTTAACCAGATATTACACTTATTTAAACACAAGAAAAATTTGTTCCTAATGCGGTTAGCTCAGCACATCAGAGTTTTGTCTAATCCTTTGTTAAATGATTTTTCTTAATTTAACTGGCACATATGAGAAAACATATAAACGAAAATGCAGTTTTTTTAAAGCTAAATTTTTCCAACACATATTCTTCCAAAATGTTTTCCTTGCATATATTTAACGAAATTTATTCAGACGAACATAAAAAAAAGTTAAAAAATTATTGATTCGGTTTGCGCGGGCAGTTAATCTGGAACAGTTGGATCAAACTTGATCATATGGTATGCTAAAGACGAATAGTAAATGTCTTTACCTTGGCTTACATACAGCGACACGAAATTGCTTCATAAAACGGTTAATAACAAATACTCAAAAAACAATAAAAAAATTAACTTCACAAAATATTTCTATGCCTCCATATATATATACCATTGCACATACACACATATGTTAAAAACTATTAATTACTATATGCTGCCATTTAATGTTCACTCTAATAAGTATTTCAATCTATTCATTCAACTTTCCAGCTAGCGAACAAAACTGCTGAGTCCTTGCAGGCCGTTGGGTTCTTTGGCATGTTGAACTACTAATTAAGTTCTACAAAGGGAATGACATAAATTAATTTATTCATTGCCACAGAAAACATATGCGTAAGCGTAATCTGATTAGCCGCTCAACGAACCTACTGCCAGAAACCATTAATGTCACCAATTCTACCTCATCATAAATACATACAAATGAATTAGAAATGAGAAGAAATTATTTCACACTATCCCGATAATTCGAAGCGAATGACAACATATAATTTTTTCCACAGAAAACTTGAATCGTATATGGACAAACAGCGGATGTTCACAAAGAACAAGCGCCGATTTACAGCACCATTTGTGTGTGTGAGTGCGTAGTCAAATGCTTCCGGCCGCAAGTGCGAATGCATTAGACACATGTTGAGTCGTGTGAGTGTGGTAATGTTGCGTTGTATTTAATTACCAAGGCGCCCTACTAACAACAGTAGCAAAAAACAACTACAACAACGGCAGCAACAACGAGGTTACACAGTAACAACAAGCGGACAGACATATCAGCACATTGGAATTTTACCGGACACGCATCGGTAGCCAAAAACGCTGCGGTGGCTGCAGAGGTGACAACAACATTTGAGCAAACAACAAAAACGAGATCAATTCGGGTGGAGACACGTGACACCAGCATTTCGGTTGAAGCAAAGCAACCTTTTCACGATCTAGTAGTAGGAGCGGTGGTGGAAGCAGCAACTGAAGCGGCAACAACAATAACGACCATAACCCATTACGTCAATACATTCCATTTCGGCGATTGTAAAGTGAAACGAAATCAATTCCAGCGCTTTAATCGGGAAACTTTTAGTTTCACCCTCACGCTTGTCAGTGCTGTGCTGCTCCTCTGCTGTCTTGCGTCAAATAGTTTCGTAGCAACAGCCGCATTGCTGGAGGTTTCCACTGCAAGTAACAATGACGTGCCAGACGCTATTGATGTCGGTGATATCGGTGTCGTTAATGGCTTAGCTAACCGTAAAGCGGGTGCAAACACCAACTTTAGCGTGGACCCCTGCGCTCTTAAGACACTACGTAATGTTGACTGCCATGCAACGCTTCCCCACGGCGATGACTACAGTATCAATGGCAGTGCTTACCATGTACAACAACTCATTACAAAAACTACAGTCGCAATTCAGCTCATACCATCTGCACCGCTTTTCGACACCACAACTACCGTCAAATCTGTTGCCACCGCCAGTGAACACAGTAAAACCGTGGCGAGCGATACCATCGCTCCACTGCTCATCGATGGCGCCGGCACCACTGCCAATGTGTCCGCCGTGCAGGAGATTGTCGAAGTGCCACAGATTCCCGCTTACATACGCAACACAGCTATGTGCTTTTGCATAGCAATCATGATGCTGGGTGTTATTGGCAACATTATGGTGAGCATTTACCGCTACATAAGTACCTATATGCGTGTTTGTTATATTAGTGCGGGTCGATTATCGTGGGTTGAGAAACACTTTGTAATAATCAGCCAACCCAAAAAATCATATATTTTATGAAGATCTTTATTTTGATTTAGATAGTTCAGTTTGTATGGCAGCTATTTAATATAATGGTCCAATCTGAACAATATGTTTGGAGATTGTAACATTGTCTCGGACAATAATCCATTACTTTTCAAATAAAGAAGTTTTCCATACAAGCACGTGGTTTTAATCGATCAGCTCGTATGGCACTATTTCTTATATAGTCTCTCTATAGTTATATTATATCGATGACTCTATTTGTCGGAGAGAAAAGTACGGATACGAAATTTCAGATCGATACCTCAAAAATTTAAGGAATAGTTTGCGTATATACAGACAGACAGACAGCTAAATCAACTCATCTCGTCACGCTGATCATTTATACATATTTATATTAAATAGTGTCTTCGATGTTTCTTTCAGGGTGTTACACACTTCTTGGCAAACTTAATATACCCTGTTTAGAGTGTAAATATATACAGTACTGAAAAGGTGCATTGCAATGTTATATAACATTATACAATCTAGCAATTGCAAAAAGCAAGAAAGTTATAAAGAAACCTTTTTTGACTGCTTTCGGACTCACCAAGGACGAAATATTATTCAAAACTACTTTCAGAACAGGTTTTCTATATAATTATTTTCGCGACCATATCTAATGTATAATTATATGTATGCATTAAAAGTACTCAAATATGAAAGACGCATTTGTGTTAAACACTGCGTATGAGTAATCTAGTGCGGAATTTCGTTAAATTGACTTTACTCACGCTCCTTTTCGTTTTGCTTGTCACTTCACACGTCGTTTAGGTGCCAATTGTTATTGTGAAAACCAAAGATATGCGCAACTCCACCAATATATTTCTTACAAATCTCAGCATTGCCGATCTATTGGTGCTACTGGTGTGTACGCCAACCGTATTGGTCGAGGTAAATACGCCACCGGAGACCTGGGTGCTGGGCCATGAAATGTGTATGTAAATAAACTTAAATTTCAGTTGTAGATATAAATAGGATATATAATTTGTTTATATACTATATACCGTTTTACTTTAATTAAATGTTTATTTACCCTCCTTTCCCCGCTTCGACAGGCAAAGCAGTACCATTTGTTGAGCTAACAGTCGCGCATGCCAGCGTGCTGACAATTTTGGCCATCTCATTCGAGCGCTACTATGCCATATGTGAGCCGCTGAAAGCCGGTTATGTGTGCACCAAGGCGCGTGCCATACTTATTTGCATATTGGCATGGGTAATTGCGGCCGTATTTACCAGGTAGGATTTCTTTAATATAAAAAATCATGTAAACCATATCACAATAATTGAGCTGACGTGAAAAATTCAATAGGTTAGGTTTGATTAAAAATGTCTTGTGGAAAGTTTTTTGTACAATATTAAATGAAAAACATCTCCCTTGACCCTGAAGACTTTATTTAAGAAATCTGTTTCCACGCTGCATCAAATAGCAAGGATCAGAGTGAATTATTTCCGAAAAGCCCTGTTCTAGGCATAGCTTTGTTTAATAAGAGACTTTATACTCTAACTTACAACCGCGCTTCACTTCTAGCTTCTTCCTGATTTAACAGTTTGGTTCATAATGTGCAAGCTTGGAATGTTTCGAAGTTCAAATTGTCTAATAAAACTTCAGTACCTTTTATTAGTTTGTTAACCGCAAAACTAATTCAATACAAAGTTTTATCAATAACCTTTGATGAGATCAATGACCCTTTTTTTAATTTCAGCGACGCCAACATCTCTTCTTTTTGTTTACCTTTAGCAAGAGCAACAACCTTTAGAGAGGACAATAGTTCTTAGAATTGTTTACTACACTAAAGGTTATTGACGACTGCAATAAAGTTTCTGACCTTCCTCCTACGCTTATCTTCCAACACCATAATTTGGTTCTCATGTTTTGGAGTTTGATAAGAAGACAAAATGGTTCCTGATCTCGCAATTTTACAAGATCCTTAATTCGTGAACCACTCGGAAGGTTCCCCACTTTGCATTGAAAACATTACTTAAAGGCGCTCATCAGAAATAAGATGAGAAGCTCAGTAAGACGTTCATATATTAAATGGTGTAAGCACCAATAATATGAATTACAATATCATTAATCATTATTATTAGCGCAGAATGCCACACATCACCTTTAAAATCAGCCTTTACCTTAGTTCAATTATTGTGGTATAATTTAATATAGTAATTATAAACTAGTAATGCAAATTAGTACATATATACATTAGTATAAAAGTACGTGGCTAAAACATAGTAACAGCTCTAATCTTTACGTAGTTGCCAAATACTTAAACATTACATTTGAACCAAAATGGTTAAGATTTGAAATTTTTTTTTTTTAATTTTCATGTGCACTTCAGCTTATATACTTATATGTATATGCTACTTTATACACATTTACATGTATTTGTTATTGATGCGTTTGTAAAATCGTGTACAGATTTAATTGTAAATTATTTTATATTCATTCTTGTTGATATTTTCTGTAATTTGAATATTAATTTCATGTCTTAGTCAAGATTTTTGCAGCCATTGTTATATAGATTTTATTAATGCGCCCGCCAATTTAGCATGCCCAGCAAAAGTCATCAAACAGTAGCCTTAGACACATACACCGACATGTATATATTTGTACAAAGCCACAAAGCCAAAGCAGTACATAAGGTGAAATAATTGTTAAAGTTTTTATGTGTGTAGCTGTTTAAAAATATTTGAATGGAAATTGTGTTTGCACGTCAAAGTCTGCCGATCGCCCTTACTATTGTCATTATTTCAATCGTCACCATTTTCATAACCACCGTCGGCTATCAACAACTTTGTTTAAGAAAAAAAAGAGTGAAGAGGCAATATTGACCAAAAACAAAAAAGAGTAAAGAGACGATTTAGTCCTTCATCATTTTGCTGGCGTTAAGGTTATGTTTACATTTTTTGTTTTCTATTTGTTTCTTTTTATTCACTATTATCGCCGCGACCCTTTTTATTTGTGCTTAAATTTTATTTGTATTATTTACGCGGCCGCTTGTCGCCAATATCGCGCTCATAAGCATACCCTCAAAATAGAAATGAGGTAATCGCATGCTATTAAGGGCTTACGGACAGTGACCTTTGCTGCCACCCACTGTTGCTGTCGCCATTGACTTCACATCAGCGTTAGAATAGGCATTGTTATTACGTGGCCTATAATTGCACACTTCCACGTCCAGCTTTCCGGTTCTGTGACGGCCAAAAAACAAGTTATACAAATATATGGTTCTCTTCAGTAATTTTTTGAATCAATTATGAAATAAAAGTAAATAATTGAAATAACTTTCTTGTGGATTAATTCGTATATCTTTCTCAAATGCACGATTTTAGTCCGACAGGTTATAGGCTTAAAAATATTAAAGACTTTAGTTACACAACCTAACAATAATATATTGCATTTTTATAGCCTCCAAATACGTTGCAAATTCTTGGTTATTTAGGTTCGCATTTCCAAGCGTGTGGCAGATTTTTTTCTTCCTCTTACTTCACTGCTTCTAGCAGTTGGTCCAGGCAACCTTCTAGATTTGAGTTATTTTTTCCAACCCAAGTTTTTATAGTAAACGTCTCTCAAATCAAAACTTCCAGCGGTAAATCACATCACATCTCTCTCTCTCTATGCTCTGCTGTGATCTTCTTCTTTCACGAAAGTATACAAATCTAGAAAAGTGTTAAACTCGCAGAGGGTAGAGACCTTTTGCTATAAGGATATGGAACTTTATAGTTTTTCGAAGATATTACTATCGACAGTGTCTTGACAAGCAAATTAGTTAAAGGTTGCACACTTACTGTTTTCTATAGTCAATAAATATTTCACCCTACTGATTTTGATCCAATAAGCAGTAGTCATTATTTGACATATTGTTGCTCAGGCTTTTTATATCCCAGTTCTAAGTTTTATACAAAAACTCTAAGCTGGAGGTGTTCTATTGTGAATTTGTCTTGCGCTATCAAAAGCATTATCAGAAGCAAGATTTTGCAACAGGCAGATGTTGAATCAGAATGATGTTAACTTGGAACGTGGTGCTCCCTGCGACCTCTCATAATTAAGTGGTATAAATAGTAAATCCTTGTAAGAAAATTCCTTATATCATTGTTATAGGTTATAGAAAGGAATAATGTAACTTAAAAAAAAGATAAACTTCGTATTGGCACCTATTTCAGAGATCGTATGTAACTTTAAATCTAGCCTTGAACCCAACTGTGGGACTAAACTAAATTGTGCTATATTTTTTAGTCCCATTATTTGGGTTGCCGAGTACAAATTCGTCGAGTACATTGATGGATCATCGGTGGCGGTCTGTTTGACACAAGCGACCTCCAATTGGACAATCGGGTACTTTTTGATGACAATAATCGTTTTCTTCATACTACCGCTACTGATCCTTATGGTATTGTACGCCATTATAGCAAAGAATCTAATCTCCAGCAATGGTCCAATGTTGCGTGTAAGACCGTCGAAACCAGAGTTGAGCCTAAAGGCGCGCAAACAAGTCGTACTCATGCTAGGCGCTGTCGTTTTATCCTTCTTCCTATGCCTGCTGCCATTTCGCCTGCTCACTATGTGGATCATACTCAGTTCGGAGCAAACCTTCTTCGAGATTGGCGTCGAACGTTACTACAGTCTATTATATTTTTGTCGTATTATGTTCTACCTGAACTCGGGCATCAATCCCATCCTCTACAATCTGATGTCAACAAAGTTTCGTAAAGGATTTTTGCGACTCATTTTGAGCACGTGGCAGAGCGCTGTCTCGTCAATAACCTGCGGTCACTATAAACGCATTCGTGCACGTACCGGCACCATAACTGGTGTGGCGACTAACACCAACACGAACACTTCAAATACGGCCACCAGTCATGCGACCACCTCCAGTATACTCTCACGTCAATCTAATCGCCGTTATAGTGACGACACGGTCAACATCAATTCGAGTACGCGCACCGTTACAAAAACGCAAATACAAATACAAATGCACATACCGTGCGGTCCCGACAATGAGATGTTGGCGATGTTGCATAGCAGTGCAACCGCCATGCTCGAGAACGAAGTCCAACGCAATGGCAACGATGTGGATGCGAGCGGAAGGCGGAAGTCCATAACGAAATGTTATAATATGCAGTCTGCAATGCGTTCTCTCAGCGAGTCGGCGCCGACCGTCACGAGTAAACGTTCGGTGCATGTCAGTTTCGATGACGAAGAAGCTCAAGCTCAGGAGGAGGCTGTTACTCTGACGTGATACGTTTGAAATGAAGAAGAGGCTAATTGAGTGCGCGCAGTTGCGAGCAAATAATTTTTATGGTAATATAAGATTAACAGTTATTTGAAGGCATCCGAATGGATGCAAGTGGTGTGTAGTTGGCTGTGGCTTTTACGTATATGAATAACAGATTTCTGTATCTTCTTAATGAAGTCGAAAAGTAACCAATAATAACAATTATAAAATGAATTTACATTGTAGAAAATTGTGTATTAGTCAAATTCTAGCATGAGCTGTTAGATTAAGCACAACTGTAATGTTCTGAGTTATTATTCGGCTCAGATTATTACCATCTAAACCGGTAGGGTAAAAATACAAAGTTAGAGCCGCTTTTATGAAGGCGATTAGAGAAATATATGTCTTTGAAATAAAAAATTTTATACAGAAAATTTACATACATATATGTATAATAAGGATTATATAATATAAATGAAAAATCTTTATTTAATATTATGTTTTTTATTCTTTAATTTAAAATAATTTTTCTCTTATCTCTTGCGTAACCTTAGAGCTGAAGTTTGTATGTTAAATCCTTATATAATAAATTTAAAAAAATCGAACAATAATTTGTTTTTTTATTGTATACAAAGAACTAATTAATTTTTTCAATATCCAGAACACATCAGCTATATTTAATAAAATATTTTATTTATGGTAAATCAAAAAATGGTGAAAAAAGTTTAAATAGGCAAATGTTTTTAATTTCTGAAACCAAAAAAAAAGTTCATATATATATCTATATATATGTATGTATATAAAATGAACCACAAAAACAAAAAAACAAAAGCAAAAATTATTAGCGAAATGATATATGTGCTATCTGCATAAAAAAAAGCTTGAATAAATAGCAAAATGCTATAAATATGTATGTATGTATGTGTTAATAGAATTAAAAATATATAGAAATACAAATTAATTAATATTTGTATAGTATACGGGAACAAACATAGTATTGCAAATTCATATAAATCACAAATACGTATAATATATTATATTAGGCTGAGTGCACAGTGAGCGCTTAACCAACATGCGAGACCAAACACTTCAAAGTACGAATATGGTATGTGAAAAATCATTTCAGATTGTCGCTATGCACTTGAGCTTCTAACCATTTAGAATAAATTATGTATTTATAGGCATATACAATATATATTTATATAAGCATTATTTTATTCTACCATATACATTTTGTACTTAATAAAATTACATTATTAATGCAAAGATACGACTAAAAATAACCTGTGTCAAAATAGTACAATACAATATTTAACTGTTAAGAAATTTGAAGCATTGATGTTTAGAAGTGGTGTTACTTGCTCAACTATACTAATAGTAATTAATATCGATCAAAATGTATGTATATTTCCAAACACAATATCTGAAACAATGTTTGCTATTAAAGATGTACGTTAGAAATTTGCAACTATTAAATACTATTGAAATGAACTTTTTAAAAAATATTCCATTTTACATTCCATTTCATACAAAATATTAATACTATCTCTTAACAGATTGCTCAAGCCTCAGACTTCTCAAAAGAGTTTCAACTGCTTTTCAATTAGTACTTAAAAATGTTAAGTTAAATATTTAAATTATACATGTAAAATATGATCAACTCGTTTAAACAATTTATATTGTTAAGGACCCCTTCTATCTAAAAAAAAGTCCGGAAATTAAGAAATATCTACAATATTCAATGTGTGCATAATTGATATTGAAAAATGAAATCAAACCCTAACCATATATTTAGTGGAACAGTACATTTAATATAATTCCGTTGCAAGTTTAGAAATATTATAGATGTGTCTGGTACTTAAAACAATTAGTAAAATAAATATTTAAACAAAAATATAATTATAAAATAATTGATTTTAGTGTGCTTATGCTGAAATACATATATACATACATGTGATTAATATTTATACGAAAATATTTTATTAAAGAAATAAAAAAAATTAAAGTCAGCTTGATTAGAATGTGCATATCTTTCTACTGATAAATGAGTTTGTGGAAACATTGATAGCCTTTTCGTTACATTAAGTCAGTTAATAATATATCTATACGCTATTCTCTGCTCTCTGCACAATTTTCGGCATCTTTTTCTATTTTCCTTCCTCAAATGAACGAATATGCCTATATATTATTATATAATAATGTGTAGTCATACCACATTTATAGGTATGGGTTTGCATAAATATTACTTTTTCCTATATTTCTCAATTTGGTATGTAGGGATAATCGATTGTGTTGCCAAAAGTTCTACGCACCAATTACATCATTTCATTTATTTCCATTTACGTCCAATCCATTACCACGCCATCCATTTCATAAAGTTAAGGTGTCTTTATATATATTTTATGCATGTTCTGTAACCTTCACTTTTTACTTCCTGCATGCTTAACTACTTTCTTCTCATCTCCGCCTGGTTTTATATAAAATATCATTATGTTCACATTACGAACGCATTAGATGTCGATGTAGAGAAAAGCCGACAAAGTTGCGCATTTTGCATGTTTCCTAACCCGTTTACACTTCTGCTTGGCTAAACAAATATTATGTTTGCGCATTCACCAGCTGTGTTACAAAAAATCAAATAAAGAAAATAACAATAAGCAAATGGACGAAATGGCAAATAGCCAATTGACATGGACATATTAGGAAATACCTTCGCCAACTGAATGACGGATAATGGTCATCCTACGAAACAGTAAGTACATATTTGTTTCTCTCGTTGACATACTATATAGCAGTAATTTATACTTAACTGTTATGCCGCTGAGAAAAATGTTAAAAGAAAATAAATATCTATACAATGTCCATCATACTAATTGAAGTTGTTTTATTTGGTCAACCAACACTAATTTAAGTTCAGAATCTTCCTTTCCGAGTCGCTAAAGAAAAAAACATCAACAGCAGTTCGAATAAAATCAGATAATTAGAGATAAGTTCGGGTATAATGGAGCATTTTATACTTACGCAATTTGTGAGACCCAAAGACGGTCAAATATTTTCAAATGTTTACAAAACATAATATAATATTTAAAACTGCTCCAAATAATCGCAATTTTATTACAATAACTCACACAATGGTCGAAGTATTCATAACAATTCTGTTAAAATATAGAAAATCATTATATGTAGTAAGTGGAAGTTGGGGTAAAGTAAAGATATACCATACGTATATGCTTGGATATCTTACAAATTGTATACAGTATAAAACCAACTGCAATTGTGTAGGCATTGACCTATATTATTATATTATATTACAACACGACACGCTATTGCCAAGAAAAGATGCACTATGGATTTCATTAATATATCTCACAGATAGACCGATATATATGGTATATGGTGAAACGGAAGTTTTAAAATCCTTTAGGTTGTCTGGTTTTATCCAATTTTTGACACAAGGGCACTTACTTATCAGAAAAAGAAGCTTTCTGAATTTTACTAATATATATTACAGATCGACCGATATTTAAATTTAATACACATCATTGTATTACTGAAAACTTATTTTCGCAATTTTTAGATAGAGTTATAATATTAAATTTATGTACCCACACAGAGAAATACTGAAATTTAGAGTATAAAATTATAATAATAAAATATTAAAATATTCTCGGGCAGTTTATATTGTTGAAGTGATAAATTAATGAAAGTCTTCAAATTCAATCAATTTCATGTTATGAAGTTAACATACTCACTCTTCTTATGAAATCGCGTGCAAATAAATACGAATTAAATAAGTTAAGTTTTTAATAAAGTTCATAAAAATCCAAAGAAATTCACTATACGTAAATTTTCTAATATTACTATTAATATTTACATAGTATGTATGTATGTATTGTAAACATAAGGAATTTGGCAAGTGAAAATCTAGTCAGTTTAAAAAGCGTATTTCCATACAAAGCCCTATCACCTTTTATGTGCCAATCGACATGCAATCTGTAGCAGAAGCTATAAATCCGTTTACACATGAACAAAACAATAATAACAACAACGTCAAACAAATATCTAAATAAACACCCTTTCACAATTTCCTTCGGAAAACAATCAATTTTTCAGGCTATTAAACTGAAATGAGTACATGAATGTTGGTCCATAAGACACAACAACAACAACCACATATTTTTACATATTTACATTTATACCTCAATAACGAACAAAAATGTGAAGGTTTACACCCACACACTCTCGCATACAAATATATTTGAACGCCGCCGTAGCGTTAAGATTCCAAAAACAAACATATCTATGAACCTTCCTATATATGTATGTATGTATATAAGGGCCAAAGAAATTGAAACCGAAATTTCGCAGTTAAGAAATCGAAAATGTTCATGCAAAAATTGTAAGCTACTGCAATTTATAGAACCCAAATCGAATGCTGTTCGCATATCACCAAACATGATTTAGGTGGCTGAGAGTGATCATGGGGATACACATATATGTGCATACATACAAATGTATATATTTCCACAAGTGCTACATGTTGATTGTTTTTATTGCTGCTGTTGCTGCTGTTGCTTCTACTGTTGTAGTCATCAACCATTCGAAATGGAATTTTATGATATTCTTACTGTTAATTTCGCCACTCCGCTTAGTGATTGTTGTTGTCACCGAAATGATTTCGCCATTTAACAATGTATTTGTTGCTATTATAATGTGGCATTTACAAAATAAATCGAAATTTATACATTGTAACAATTTATGCATGTAAGTATGTTGTATATACTCATGTGTACATATGTACACACATTCAATCATACGTACACACCCTCAGGCAAATTTTTCTGTTTTATTTATGAGGATTCGCTGTTTGCATTCTTGTTGAGATTTTGCTATTGTCATTGTTGTTGGCACTTTCATTTAACTACAAGTATGTTGACCATATCGGAGACGCAGTTGCTCCACTACTCCTTGGGTGGTAAGAGGAAATCGCGACAGTGCATGAAATTTGACTTTAGCGTTGAAAAGGAAAGCTATTATTTATTAGTGGAGCGTGTGTGTATGTACATGCATAGTTACTTATGAACATGCAAAGTTGTATATCTATATAATGTATATGTCAGTACACTGGCAGCGCGCGATTTTGGCGATGAGGTTTCCTTTTTCCTTATACTGATGCTCACTTAATACCTTTAAAGTATTGGTATTAGTAATTTGCATATTTTCCATGGTTCATGGTTCCCATTGTCCGATATATGAATTATGATCGTCTCTGTCCGACCAGTATCCGTATATCTCACGGCGATATATACTGCATATAAGGGTCTCTGTACTTTATACGGTATATAGTTTCCGGTGAAATCAATTCATATTCTTCGCCAGTCCCTCATATAACGTCCTTCTGGATTATATTATCCCATATATATCGAAGAAGGTGGATGACTTCAATTTATATTCTTTGTTAGCCCCAAACTTGGAAAGCTGGTAAAATCCGTCCCTAAGACCGTCCCTTAAACGGTCGATAATATTTGAAAGCAAAAAAAAAACATAGTAGAACGAAACACTTTGAAAAATAAAGATAAAATAAAAAAAAAATGAACGAAAAAATAATTTATCTGTGATCTGTGGTCTGGAAAAGGAAGCGGAGGAGAGTGGTTGAATGTTGTGGCTAGAAATGGTTTAACTCGATTTCCAGCAAAACTACAACACCTATAGAAAAAAGTTAAATCGAAAAATTATTGGTAATAAAAGGATCTACATTTTTCGTGTTCATATTCCTAACCTGAAAATTTATATGAAAAAGTCAAATAAACAAGTTTTTGGGTTTTTTATTTTTATGCAGTAAAAAAATAGTTTTTTTCACGAAATTGGTGGTAATTGTTTTAATATTATTTTTTTACCTTATTATGTCATAGTATATTTAGAATCAAGAGACATCTCTCGCGACATTTTTGTTATTTTACCTCGACCAATCAGGGTTACAAAACCCTATAATTACAATCCCCCATTAAATATATATTTACTCTTTTGAACTAGCATGTAGCATTAGCTGTAATTCGGTACATTAATTTAAGCATTTCATAAACATTTTGAGTGTATTAGAGGATATTTGCGACTTGTTTTTCGTTCGTTTTATTATCCCATTAAATTGCATTATTTATTATGCCATTTGGACAGCTTAAATTCGCATAGAAACACACTTTTACAAGCATAGTCGTAAGCTTGCGGTTGTAGGAATGACCAATCGGGCTTCATTTTCGTGCAATGGATGTACTTACTATACATACAATATTATACATTACATTATACATTTATATTATACATTTGCACATTTTATGGTAAATATTTAAAAATGCCACCTCGTCGTTTAAAACACCTATAACTTCGTGTAACATTACATGCCCGTTTCTTGTAAATGTTGATGTAATTTCCGTTACAATGATTGAAAGCCTTAATAATTGATTAATGTAAATACCGACCGTTTATTGGGTAGGGTCGTTAAAATCTGTGTATACATATATGTCTTTATATATAGCCGTGCTTATTGATTACTGACAACTAATTTTTAAATGTGTCAATCAGTTTTTACCGCAGGACTTCCGTTCATAGTTTACTTATATGGGTATCAACAACCATTTTTATATAGTTTATTTGTTATTATGCCACCATCCACTTACAAGAAGCCAAGCACCGCTCAAAATCTAACGTGAAATCCAGAAAGCCACAGCTTTATTGTTATTGTTGGGAATTTTGTCGAAATCCACATAATATGGATGACTTCAATTTGATTAGTTTTTCTCATACTCTCGCAAAGCTATATTCGCCGCTTACTTTCGGTCATGTCGGTGACGTCAATAGCATGTCGACATAGAAACTAATACCTATACTAAAGAAATACACTCATACCAAACATGCATGTGTGTGTGAGGAGTTTTTACAACCACACACAAAGAGAAAAAATTCAATATTGAGTACTATGTTCACTACTTGTAGCACGTCAAGTAAAGTTAGTGGCCAAAAGCTAGACATACATACATATAACCCATTAGGAGTTGGAAGGTTATATTATATATATATACTTTGTCAAGTAATCAATCTTTAAATTAAGAAATATTATGTTAGCTTTAAGGAGTTATATACACTTGTGAGTTTAAAAATATTTTTTTTTTTTGCATTTACACATATATTTCAAAATATTCTCCAAAAATTTTAAGTTGATCCGGCAAATAGTTTCGGAGATATGAGCGTTTTGTACATTTTTTAGCATGAAACGCTGTTTTCATAGTTAATGAGCAAAATTACTTCTAACGTCTAAACCGATCGACTTGAAATTATCATACGACCATTTTAGATATATTTATTTGTCAGTTAATGATCGAAAAAATAATTGTATGTAAATTTTATATTTTTGATAATAATTTCTGAAGTATCAGTTTTAACACAAAAAACGACTTTTTTGTAAGCCGCCATCTAGTCTAGTAACAAGTTTGTTTGGTTTTTGCAAAAGAGATCATTTTTAAGCAGAAAAATCTTCTTCACTGACAAACACCTACTTTAGGTCCTGCTGAAGATTGCCAATGGGGTCTGACTTGCAAGTGGATATAATCTTTAAAAGCCTCTTCTTTGCCTTTGTAAATCAAAACCTCAACTTGCAGTAAACGCAAGGTCATTTTCTACACAATCCAGACCGGGTCGGTATTTAGGGAAGAAAAGAAAAATAGTTCTTTAAAAAAATATGGTGCTCAGAAGTATGGGATTGCTTTAATAATAACAAGCCATTTGCCAAGCAATTCTAAATAATAGTTGTGGAATCGCACCAAATTACCATATCATAATGTCCACTGTTCTTCAAATAGAGCTTACCTCAAACGTGCATATTTGCGTAAAACTAAAGCTCCCAATCCATTCATCAATTAACGTTTTAATACTTAAAAGTTATAGCCAGTAATATTTATTAGTTTCAACAAAATTTTAACAATATAACTTAGTTTTATTACTCTCTTTCTAAAGATTTTAGAACTTTTTATTAACTTGTCACAAAACCAGCCCTTGAAGCGAAAACTTCAATTACACCCAGAGTTGCAATTTATTTAATGTGGTTTTTTCCTATCATTAATGCAAATATACATAAAATATAATGTGAAACATTAAGGATATATTATTTCACGCTTAAAACATTTTTTTATACAATTGTCGAATTCATTCAATAACATATTAAATAATTTATTATATAACATATTTATGTGAAGAATTATGATTTTTTAGCTTTTGCCTTAGCAACCCTATTGAATTAAATTGACTTTACCAACTACATACAACGACCGTTATGCGTCAGTATCCTTTTAGCGCCAGTATTGAAATTTATTGCAAGCGAGTAAATCCAGTATACCGTATGTACATTTATAATTAAAAAATAAAATAATGCAATAATATAAACGTTATTTTTTTTTAAATCATTATATTGAAGAAGATGTGTTTATAATAAAGAAAAGAAATTGTGTTAATTTGAGTGAAGAAACTCTAATTTTAATATATCATTGCAAATGATAGTTCAATAAATTTGAATGTAGCAGTTGTGTTTATAAAACAACGCTTATGAAAGCGTGATAAGAAAGTAATACAATTGTGAAGTGTGTGACAGTTAATCTGTATTTACATAAAAGCCATTCTGATAGAAAACACATAGACAGGTAAGTGGAGCTCTAATTAAATATGGTATGTAATTTCTGTAGAACTAAATATTGAATTCATAAAATTTTATTCGATGCTTTTATTTTCTTTGCATATCTAATTTGACAAAAATATTTGTAATATTTTTTATAACTGTATCGTTGTTCTTTCGGCTGCTTTAAAAAACCGCTTTGCATTCAAGATGTGCAGTGAAATCAGTGTAATTTTTAGTAACAAAGTATTTATTTCCTTGTATATACATATACATATGTACATATAACACCGCAACGTCACACATCAAATATTTACCTTGATCATAATTTTCTTACTTTTCGGTAGTCCGATCGTATTAATTGCAACCTTCCGCATGGAACGTTACTACGACAACACAGAGGTGGCTGTGTGCTTCACTTCAGCGGAAACATTCTGGTCCGCATTCTTTTTCATCGCTTGCATTGCAGTATTCTTTTTGTTGCCCTTCATCGTGTTGGTATTGCTCTATGTAGCAATTGCGTACAAACTTTTACGACGAAACATTGACTTTCATCGACCTACCACAGCCGCCGCTCATGTACGGTCCACCACTTGCCTGAGCTCGGTTATCTTGCGCCAGCAATCGTTGAACAAACTGCCGATACAGATGACACGCAGTGACACTGATAATAACCGTAGCGGCACATTAAATATTGGCGCAAGCGCTCAACAGCTACGTACAGGTATGCGGAAGCATCGCAAGCAGGTGATTTTCATGTTAGTTGCGGTTGTCGCCAGTTTCTTTCTTTGTCTGTTACCATTCCGTGCTTTCACCTTGTGGGTTATCGCTGCATCGACAGAGGATATCGCCGCACTTGGTATTGACGGTTATTATGGTGTTTTGTACTTTTGTCGCATAATGCTCTATTTGAATTCGGCTCTGAATCCGATACTCTATAATCTTATGTCATCGAAATTTCGTACTGGGTTTTGGCGTTTGATTATTTCCTGTTGCAACAAACATAGAAAACATCCGATCGGACGTAGCAATAGATGTACGACCGCGACGACAACAACCAGCCGACGTCAAACGGAGCCAAAACAACCGAGAACTTACGAACAACGTCGTTTAAAATTCAAACGGGAGTCAACATTTGCAGTGAGCTCGTCCATTTCCACTTCTTCAGGCACGGAGCGTAGCACTAGCGTTACTATAGTAGCACATCGACCAGTTATGGCACCGCGATCGGATGTGGGTGCGGCAATAATAGATATAACCAGAAGTACTGTATCAAGTGCATGCCCTTTGGAAAGTGATGAAAATGACAAAGAGGGAGATCTACACAGTTGAGTGTGGAAATATTGCAAATATTTCATTGTATGTCCATGCAAAAGATACTTATAAGTAAGACTGATAAACCTCAAAGTCAATAATGAATGCTTTCAATTAAGTACTTAAGCACATCCAATGTTAAAATTTTTTTGGATTCTTCCTCAAAGATATGATTGTAAATTATTTATAGGAATAACGTACAGATGTACTTAAGTATATTATAAAAGAATAAAAACTTCAGAGTAAATGGAATTATGTTATAAATAAAATATAGTATTATTTAAGTGAATGTTATTCATGGTAGTGATTTTTAACGAACTGTGAAGCAACCATTGGCTTGGGTAGATGGCATAACTGTCCCTACCAGATATATAAAATATGAAAACACAGATTTTTTTTACTAATTTCATTTAAATTGCGTATGTCGTACTTTTTATTTATTAAGTAATAAACTAATATTTGCAGCAATTCGGTTGGACAGTGAACCAATAGAGGTTGACTGCACATCTAAATTACCCAATAAACACAAAATTGTATATACTATGGATTTTTAATAATTATAAAATAATAGGGGAATTTTCAGACGCCCGAAAAGACACTACATCATCCTTCATTACTACGATACGCTCACACTATAGCTAATTCCCACATTACTGCTCATACCATCGTTATTTACGCATTTGTTTACATTTAGGTTTTATTTAAACATTAGTTATAAGTATCTTACTTAAAGTTGTTTTCGCGCATTTTGTTGTGGTTTTAATTTTATATGTTCGCTGTCATAACATTACTTTTTGTTGCTATGTATTAAAAAAAAAACGTGTGTTTTGTTTATTTCTTATGTTTCTTTGTTGTTATAAACATTTAAAGTTGTGTTCCTATCATCATCCGATCCACTTCGTTACCATCGTTTATCAGTATATTCCATTTCATTGCAAATGTATTATAGCTTAGCAGCATAATGATTTGTTTTTTTATCATCACCATCTTTGCTGTGATTACTTTTTTTTATTTAATTGTTTTTTAGTATAATAAAATAAAGTGTGTACATGAGTTCACAATCGGAGTTATTCAGCAGCAACCTGATTTGGTGTTCTCCACCGGACGTCCCTGATCAATTTTAACTTTACTGGCGTTCTCAGTGGCACTTGAAGGCGGCCCAACGCGATTCTTTATCTCGGCAGCCATCGTCAGGAAAGCCTGTTCAACATTCGTTGCGTTTTTAGCTGAAGTCTCCAGAAATGGAATACCCAACTGACTTGCGTATTCCTAATTCGGTAAAAAAAACAAAAAGTTTTATTTATTCACTTGAAATATATGCAAATGAAAAATGATACTCACCGCTGCTGTATTTGTGTCAACAACTTTCTTGGTAGTCAAATCACATTTGTTGCCCACGAGCAACTTGTTTACATTTTCGCAAGCATATCGCTCGATTTCCTCTAACCATTGCTTTACATTGTTAAACGACTCCTGGTCTGTGCAATCATATACAACAATAATACCGTGTGCGCCACGATAATACGAAGATGTAATTGTACGGAAGCGCTCTTGTCCAGCGGTATCCCACTGTTACGAGGACAAAAAAAATTCCTACTTATAATTATGGTTTTATTGAACAAATATATATTCACACTTACAATTTGCAACTTTATGGTCTTGCCGTCCAATTCAATGGTTCTAATTTTCTGTAAAGCAATTTTTGAAAAAAAAAAATATTATTATGTTTGATTATGGTGTATTAATATATTTAATTTAATTATATACTTACGAAATCTACACCAATTGTGCTAATATAGCTTTCTGTGTATGTATCATCAGCAAATCGCAACAAAAGGCACGATTTACCCACGCCCGAGTCACCGATGAGCAGTAATTTGAACAAGTAATCACTATAACAAAAAAAAAATATAAATATTTAATAAAACATTAAAATTTAATATATGTACATATGTATATTGTATGAACGCTCTGAAAAACTAGTAAGTATAATATGTACAAAACAAACAAGTTTCCGTAAACCTACTCTAGTAACAGTAATAGTTACGTATACGTAGTACTCTTATTTTTCTTTTAATAATTCTTCAAACATTTTCGGTTGCTTTCAATACTATCGCGAGCCCTTGACTGTTTACAAAAGCCACATTTGAAAGCCTAAAAAGTCTATATTTATTTCTAGACTTGCCAAAGATACCGTGGTGGAGGACATTAAGTCTTACATTTCGTCACGTTTAAAAATTGATGGTATCAATATCCGTAAATTTAACTTCAATTATGATAGAAGTATATCATCGTTTAAACGTATCTCTTGAAACATTCAAAAAAATCTTAGATAGTTCATTCTGACCACCTGGGGCTTTTTTACGCGAATTTAAGCCTAAACTTAGAAGTCAAACTAAGGAAAACATTGCTAAATTACCAAAAGCAACCACCGATATAAAAAACTGATTGGTAAAAGCATTATTATCGTCTTAATACAAAATTAACCGTCTTGTATTTAAACAGTTCCAATTTTAATTTCCATATAATTGGATTGACAGAAACATGGTTAAAACCTCACATTTTTGATGAGGATATTGTTTCATCTAAATGAAATTCACTTATAATCATATCATGTGCCTACCTAAACGCATTAATAAATAAAAATTTCGGTAAATGTATAGTTTAGGTCCCCCAACTAAGGAAGCCTCAAAAATTAAATTTTTTTTAAATCGTCTTATTTTTACGCGTAGATTACAAATCCGTGAGCGGAAAGTGAATTTTTTCAATAATTTATGTATATTTTTCAAAATTTATTTAACACACTTTGCACATATCACATATTCAAGTCACTTAGTTGCTGTGTAATTACCAGTTCAGCGTGTTAAACATTTTCTTATGAAAAAAATATACTGAAGAAATGTAACAGTCACAATTTCCTTTGCGCCGCGATCTGATGGTATGGACGAATATACGAATACAAAACAAACAAGTTTCCGTAAACCTACTCTATGTAGTAACAGTAATAGTTACGTATACGTAGTAGCCTATTTTTCTTTTAATAATTCTTCAAACATTTTCAATACTATCGCGAGACCTTGACTGTTTATGAAAGCCACATTCGACCTTTTAATGTTTAGAACATTTAATCCAGTTTACTACCTTTAAGGAACACAATTTGCTAGGGTAAAATTTTAAATTACTATATTTTGTTTACAATTGTTTCAAAATTCGAAAGTAAAAAATTAAAAGTAAAGCAATTAGGTTAAAAAAAACGCGTACTAAAATAGTTTTAATCAATAATATTTTTTTATATTGTACTTTAAATTTGAAGAACACCCTAGCTAAAGTAAATTACAAAATCAAAAAATCATAATTCTCAACTTGTCAAAATATCCTAGTGCTACAACAAGACACGAATGTCTACCTACCATATAAGACCTATTGAATGCTTGGTTGAGGATAATTTCATCTAAATGAAATTTACTCATAATCATATCATGGCCTGCCTAAATGCATGAATAAATAAAAATTTCTTCCTCTTATAACATAAAACATATATAAGGGTATAGAGTTGTGGAGATCAAAACGAAAAGTGCAATACACAAAACAGAGAAAATGAAGCAAGGTGGCAGTCAGTAATAAGGTAATACACGCAATGTTGCTGGGGTAGAGGAATGGCTCACAATGAGCATGAGAGCGGCAATGAATCTCTCTTTACAAGTGACTCATCCGCCCCATAATTCCATACTACATAACTCCCATATCGATATTTTTAATAACAATTAATTCTATATATTTTTAATGTAGTGAATATAAAAAATCTTTAAACATGGAATCAGCTTCCAATGTAATCGTCTACACATTATACGAGTGTAAACACTCCCTACATATGCATGAGCACTGTTTGCCACGAAGTGTTCCTATGCATAACTGCGACGTTGACGGTGAATATGACGGCGTGGATAGACATTATTTTAATTGTAACAAAAATGACGTCGCAAAATAAATTCGTAACCTTTATGGAATATTATAGAAATAAGATAAATTTATTTAAATTCTATGCACTTACTATTCTGGATTCATAGCGGACATTTTTGTATTGAACACTTAAGACTTCGCTTTTAGAAAACTTAAAACGTTTTCAAATTTTCTGCTAACGTTCACGAATTTGAACTATTGTTTTTTGTCTTCTATTGCGCTAATCAAATGATTTTTTCTTTCTTCAGCTGAGCCACACTTTCCACTGCTGTTTGTCACTTCAGTGGACGGTATTATATACTTTTTCAATAAATCGCACTCCAGCAAATAATTAACCTAAAATCTTTATATTTAGACTTTTGTATTTACTTTAAAGACAACTTGTTTTCTATGAGATAAATTGCCAATGAGTGCTATAACTTTTATTTTTCGCTCGACAATTTTCGACGACGGTAACGACGACGAAAGAACAATGGCGACGAACAAATGACGATGATGAAAATTCACTTGTATATCTCACTTCCACGCAATCACTTGCATAGTGTTCTCTTTCACGCACATAAAAAGTAGACGAATTTTGTGACACATCAGTTGCATATCGATAAACGATTATTACGTGATTGCCATTGTTAGCTAAACTTACTTATTAAAATTAATTGTGTACTTTCTTAAACGAATAAAACCGTTTAAAATGCACTGGAGCAAACATATAGAATGAAAGACTAGTTTAAATATAAATAAAATAAATAAATTTGTAGATTAAAAAATCTTGCATTCATTATATTTCGTGAGCTTGCTTACCATTGCCATCATTAATGGCCCATTCACACACAACTTTCCCCGCTTTGTTTGACAATTTATACTTTAACCAGAGAACTTGGAAGAGTTCATTTACATTCTCTGGTTAGGAATCATTTAAATACAACTTACCTCGCTTTGCGTGAAAAGGGTATATTTTTCACTAAAAAAAAAATTGGCGACAGTTACAGTCGCCGAGAGGACATAAATCCAGGTTCATTCCGGGTATATAGTTTCGATTATTGTGTATAGTAGGCTAAAACATACAGCAAGATAGCTTTACTTTCGATAGCGGAAGAAAAATGTCGTTGGATTAACGTAGTTTGAAATATATGCCTTTTGCGCAAATACACATAATTATTTATTTGAATATCAGTGTGATTTTGAGTGTAATTATATAGGTAATACACATTCACTTATTTCTACAATAACTATACAAGTACTTTAACAAATACTAATTACTTTTCTTACATAGTTATATGTGTAATTAAACTGATAATTATATTAACATTAACATGAATAGAATTAAAATGAAAGATTCGAAAACTGATGGATCGACCATCGCAAACTCCATTACTGGACCATCCATAAAGTTGGCATGGCGCTTGCAACGTATACAAGTTTTGAAATACACATACACACATACATGGAATGCAGAGATGGCAGCAAATTTTTATTCCAACGAATTAAGCGTCAATAACTGCTTGAGCACCTTTGTTTGGGATGTTTCACGTATCTCTCCAGCCAAAAACATTTCGTCTACTACCGTGTACACTTTATAGAAGTTGAAGACTAGGTCCAATTCACATACGTTGTGGAAATATTCATTTAAAACTTCTACGAAATTGTGTATCGCTTCAAGATAGCACAAATTATTGTCGTTGACATCAACGCATATGCAGAAATAAAGACCGGCGTAGCGACGGTATACAATCTTAAAGTTTCGAAACTGCAAGTGTAGAAATAATAAATTATTTAGTCGTTGCCCCTTGATTGGAGGATATTCCAACTACCACAATGAAATAGTTCTGCATTTCGTGGCAACAAAAGTATATTAATATTAATACACACCTCTACAAAATTGGTATGCTTTGCATCTCTTACAGTTACCACTGCATGAACCTCTTCAATCAGTTTCTGTTTTTCGTCATCATCAAAATTCATATACCACTTGGCTAAACGCGTCTTCCCAGCACGGTTTTGTATTAGAATAAATCGAATCTGTCAAATAAATATATTAAATAGTTAAACCATCAAGCTAGTGCAACGCCCCTTTTTTTGCTCACCATCTTTTTCGAAGATTCTTGCCTTTTGATCTATTATTTCAGCAAGTAAGTAAATTATACAAAATTGAGATAATGAATTTCACTGATTTTTTTGTATCATTACACTAATTTAGGGTTGTTAACTGCTATTTTTCAGTGATGCATTTTTTTTATTTACTTGAAACTCCATACAAACCGTATCTCATCCGATAACATACGGCGCGATTATGTTGAAAATCGAATTCAGTGATAATATAATATAAATTGATTTTCTTAAAACATTATTTAGTATTTGGTTTCACCTATAAAATACTTAATAAAAACAATTATTTCCCGTCTTTCATTTCTAATCTTTGAAAAAGAGTGACTACACTATTTGTATTGTTATCAAAAGTTCTATCGATAATGTAGCATCTCTATAAACATATGATCACTGCAACCAGACAGCTCGATATACTGCATAGTATAAGTAGATTTCTACAATGATACTTAACCCATGTAAAGTAAAACAAGATATAAAGTAAAACCAATCATCGTTTTTAAGTATAGCTATTTATTTTAGAGCACCCAGATACGCTCAAGGAAACGGTCAATTTATTTTAAAATACAGTAATAATGATATTAATGTTAAATCGGTGTATATTTCGTGGCCATAGTCAAAAATTGTGGGCCAGAAGTTACACAGCGGCAGTGGACGCACAACAGGAATTAGCTTTGAAAGAAAATTGTATACTAGTGGACGATAAGGATAAGGCAATTGGTTACAGTAGCAAAGAAGACTGCCATCGTGTGAATAAGCTAACTGGCGATATAAAATTGCATCGTGCATTTAGTGTATTCTTATTTAATTCAAAGGGTGACATGCTGGTTCAGCGGCGATCGACGCATAAGGTACATTTGAAAGCTTGCGTTTAAATTTATTTTTTATTTATTTAATTTGTGGTGGGAGTTTCTGCGAAATAACAATAATATTTTTTAGATCACATTTCCCGATACATATACAAACGCTTGCTGTAGTCATCCACTGCACGACATTGATTTAGAACGAGAAGAATCTAATGCAATAGGTATACGAAGAGCCGCTCAACGACGCCTCAATTATGAGCTTGGTATACCACAAGAACAAATACAACCAGAATATTTTCATTACTTAACGAGAATACATTACAAGGATTGCGGAGATGGCGTGTGGGGTGAACATGAAATCGATTATATACTATTTTTGCAAAAAGACGTTGACCTAAATCCTAATGAGAATGAAGTCAGTGAAGTGCGTTATATTAAAAGAGCTGAAATTGATGAAACTGTGTCAAAATTCAACGCCCCACTAACACCTTGGTTTAGACTTATTTTGAGAAGTAAACTCAAAGAATGGTGGGATAATTTGCATAACTTGAATCAGTATGTGGATACAAATGCCATACACCGCTTTTCGGGATAAATAATAATTATAAATGTGCACTTATATATGGGGAAAATTTCGCATGCACAATTTTTGTTTACGATAATTAGTTTTGTTATTTTAGTACTTTAAAAAATTAAAGCAAATGCATTAGTTACGGGACACGTTTCACTATTTTTCGTTTTATATATTTATCATATAAAACACATAAAAGGGTACACATGAAGACTGGCTTGTATTTCTAGTCGAATTTTTAATTATGTTTGATGTGAGGTTTTCCAAAATTAATTGAAGGGTGTTTGTATATAATATTCGATTTATATTTTACTCATCTACATCGTCCTCAATTGATGTATATCTCAATGCATGAATAATTTTTCTCGAAACTAAAGGTTGAATAAAAGATATAATAGTCATTGTTTAGGTATATATAGTTATACCAAAGAGGTCAAGCGCCCAAATGGTGTAACACCAGGAGTTTTTATAGAAAGAGTTTAGTTGTGAGTGGTTTTTTGATTTTACGAAAAACGAACGATAAGTCAAATTTCAGTTTTTATTTCTTATTTTATGTTTGTATGTATACAATTTTTATTTGTTTATGTGTATTTATGTAAATAACAATAAAGTACAATAGTTTAGTAAAACGATCACATTTACCGCGTTACTTTCATCTATCCACTGTGTTACCATGCACATTGTTTTTGACTTACAACTATTTCTATGTACCAACGTACATATATTATTGAGTTAGCGTAGCACAATAAACATTCCGTAGCACAACAACAAATATCAAACAAAATGAATAATAAATATTTACAAGTTTTGGCGTAAAAAATCTTATGTAATAGTAAAACAAATGTATGTATGTATGTATGAAAATATAGTCAATAAGTTGCAGCACGACTTGTTTTTGTATTTTCGGTATATACGTATAAGAAGGGCTCAAAGCACTTTCTTTTCGCGCGACTTCTGTTGCTGCAACAGCTTTGTATAATTGTATGCATGTGATGCGAACGCAATTTTGTCATGTTGTGGTATTTAATATTTTATATATATTTTGTATAACTCTTTAATGTAGATATGTTGTATATGCATATTATTTAAGCATTTTTTAAGACGGGGAAGTACAAATGTATGCAACTAAATTATTTTGATTATCACCCATTATTCCTGCGTTTATCCAAAATCTACATTAAATTTTCGGTCAACTCCTTTATGTTGTATTATTCGCATTAAATTTGAATAACTTTTCGAATTTCATGTTTTCTGTTTTTTTTCTCTAACTCTAATGTGATTCATCTCATTCAAATCATTGAGTTGGTTTTATGAGTATATTGTGGGTTTGCATGCGCTTTAAAACACGTCGTAGTTAGTATGTATATGTGTAAAATAAATAGGTGTCGATTTCGTTAAAAATATATTTTTTAGCATATTTTGTCGTTTGTTTAGGTTTTTTTATCAGCCAATTGGCGATTTTCGCACTTCATTTAAGGCACTTTCGAAGTCTTGTAGTTCATAGTTTATGTAGGAATTTAGGCAAAACAACTATATTACCACTTATAAAATTTTGGCACTTTTGTTTTGAATTCCTTTCAATCATTTACTCGTTTTGTAATTGTTGAAAAACGGCGCATGCTTCAATTGCTCTTTTACACACTAAGCAATTTTATGACAGTATACATAAGTAAAATCACAGCCATTGACATTTAGGATAATCCAAAAAGCTTCAAAGCATTAAATGCAGTGGCTAAAGCTACTTCATCTGGCGTTTTCTTCATGAATGCAGCTATCATTTCAACTATGGCGGGCAAACTACAAGGTTCATTGCGTTGAAAAGTACAGTACCTGAATAAAAATAGTAAAATAATATACTAAAATAAATATGCAGATATAACTTTTACAACCAACCTATGTAAATATAATAGCGAACGTTCTGTTATTCCAGTCTTAACATGTTGCGGCAGCTTGGAAGCTCGTGTATTTGGATACATGAACGGCGAGTCCGTTTCGACAAGCAGTCTATCTATAGGCAAAGTTCCATTTTCTAAGAGTTTGCGCACTCCACTATCTGATTTGTCCTACAGTTTTTAAGTAATACAACATTACGTTACTTCATATATATGTCTAAAATTTGATAACAACTATTACCTTGCATAAATAACCAGTTAAACTAATATAGAATCTCCTATTGAGATATTCGACTGCTTCGTCCGCTGTGCCCATGAATCCTCTTATGATCACAGGCGGTAAATTCTCAAACCTGCAAATGCAAATTAAAAATTTAATAAAGTATAAATTAAAAAAAAAGGTGAACGTTAAAAAAGTTTCCATACAAAAACTTGATTTTCATCGTTCAAGTTTGTATGGCAGCTATATGCTGTAGTGGTCCGATCTGAAAAATCTCTTTGTCGATTATAGCGTTGCTTTGGATAATGCTCTATGCGAAATTTCGTGTAGATATTTTTGCAAATAAAAATGTTTCCATACAAGGACTTCATTTTGTTTTTTCAGTTTGTATAGCAGCTACATACATATATGCTATAGTGGTCCGATATCGGCGGTTCCGACAAATGAGAACTTTTTTTTGAGAAAAGAACGTGTGTAAAATTGCCGATCGATATCTCAAAAACTAACAGGCTAGTTCGCGTATATACAGACATACAGACGGACATAAATATAAACCTATTAAAACTTACTTATCCAGTATATCGAGTACATCCTGTTGCGCGGAACGCTCATGTATTAGCAATGACTTGTTCAATTGGCAAGCCAAATGTATCTGCTTTTCAAATATCTCTTTTTGCGCCTCGGGCTCAGAGAAATCACGCTGATAGTCTAAACCGCAAGGCCCGATGGCAACGCATTCCTGTGAAGCCGCAATATGTTCGAACTCGAACCATGTGTTTGGTTCTTCGATAATTGACTTGGAGTCGTGTGGATGTATGCCAGCAGTCGAATAGATTATATCGGGATAAATCCGTGATAATCGCAGTGCTTCTTTGCTAGACTTTACCGATGTACCTGGAACCATAATTTTTTGAACACCTACAAAAATAAAAATAAATACTTTAATAAAAGTAAATGAGTAAGTAAATTTGCGCTAATTTTTTTTTTTTATCTGAAAACTTGCAGTTTCGTTATTTATATGCAAACGACGTAACGAAGACTTCCCGTAAGACCTTTGAGGTCAAATTGAATACACATTCATACATAAATAAATATTTCTTATTTGTATGCGCATATTAATGGGTGTGTAAATATTTATATGTGTATACATACATAAAAAAATACGAATACGCAACGCCTTGTTCTTATCGAAGAAGATCACAACGAAATCTTCATGAAAACAGACTGCGCTAATTGACAAAATATGTATGAACAAACATATGTACATATGTACATATGTAGCTATTATATACATAAGGAATATATGTTCAATACGTCATCCAGACTTATATTTATGCATGCCACATACCTGCATCTTTTGCTCGCTGTATAACTGATTCCAGATCACGGCTATATTTTTTGTTTGTTAAATTGGCGCCTGCATCAATGACTATAAGATTTTCGAAGCAGTGCTTCATATCCACTAAATCTAAATCCACACCGACACCCAAGTTACCTGCCAAGCTTAAACCAGCGCCAGCGCTAGTATTAGCAGGGGAGGTTGTGCCAGGTATAGATTGTGCCATTATCGTAGAGGTTTTGTTAATGTTTACAACTTCCAGTAACTCCAATGATTAATATTGTTATCGGTAATTTGAGTGGTGCTTGCACGTTGACTCTTGACGAAAATAGATATGACGAAATAACAATATAACAGCACGTAGTGAAAATTGTTTTATATGCACATTAATTATGATGAATATCTTTGAAGAGTGTGAATAATAATGGCGTACGCCCTTCGCGGAAGATATTGTCGCAATAACACAAAGTTATAGGAAAACTTAAAACTATCACACGCAAATTAAGCACCTTAAAATCGTTAGTTTTATAGGAAGATTAAATTAAAAATGTTATAGAAATTGTTCACGACTGCTGGCAGCTGGCGGCCAAGAAATTTAGTAAAATAATAGAATCAACAGTGTTGCCAACCTCACTTTTCTTTTTTTATAATTGCTGGGCAATGTTAAAATCACAGTATGCCTAAACTAGTAAATAGAAAATAAATTTATTAAATGAAAATAAATTCATAAGATAAAAAATGTTTTCAACAAATTATAATAAAGTTATATAAAAAGTAAATAATGAGGAAAAGTGGTGGTTGTGTGTTGAATCTGCTGTGCGAATATATTTTGACAGAATTTTCTTAAACCGTTAAAACACAGGGTGTGATACATGTATTTTATTTAATTCTAAGCGTGAGAAGATTCATACGTATTCTTACGTATTTGATTTGTATTCATGCATAATTGATATTAAAAAAAAACATATAATTTAATATTTTTAGATGATAAAAATGATGTTCTTTTTCTCTAATTTTATCATGTGAAAAAAAGTGTCATAGAGCAGGGTTGGAAGTAACGTATTTAGATAATAATCCTGAATTTCTTAGTTCAAAATAATTTTTAAATTTTTAATCAAAAATACCGGATTGAAAAAAAAATGTATTCCAAATACCTAATTTACAACAAAAAAAAAAAATCAATCCTCAGCTTATAATTAAAAATAAAAAAATAAATTGTTTTAGAATTTATGTTTTTTCGTTTGCGTACTTCGTGTTCAACATTTTTGGTTATCTTTTAAAAAGGTAAGTTTACTTTTAATAAAATATCAACATAGTTAAACTCTTTTTATCTTATTTGTATTTAATTGCTCTTAATTAATTTGGATTAAAAATTGTATATAATATTATATTTTGCCAAAATTGGAATTACAAATTGAAAGTCTTATTTTTAATCCAAAATGTTTGAATTAAAAAATTCGCTACTCTGCCTTTTAGTCACGTTTAATATCACAATCGTATAAATCCGATTAATGATGTTGAAATCGAGATTGAAGAGTGATAAACAAAGTCGGACAGTTGAAACTGACTCCCCAATATTAATTTTATAATATTACTTTATTCCTTTAAGAAAAACGCAAGTTCTCAACATTTCAAATAGCTTTTTGTTTTTCAATTTATTTGAGTAATTGTCTATTTAATTTTATTCAGTATGTATTTTGGAATATCTAACGATGATAACTTCTTGAATACAGCATGGCAATAAAATCGGTTTTTTGAGTATTGTACGTATATTTCTCATATTTTATGTTTCATGTATCTGTTTTTTGAGTTTTTGAGTTTTTCTATAACATTTACACATTGTTTATAACATAATCTTCTGTAGAACATATATACGAATACATTCCATAAATATACTTGTACATATGTATGTATATATTTCTTGTATCTGCTTTAATTGCTTTGACTTTCACTCAGCTGATTACCATAAACAAAATTTTCTTTATTGGCAAAGTAAATGATAAAAGTGAAGGAGTAGAATATTTTTTTTTTGTATTGTTTACTTGATTATAATATGTAAATACAATTTAGTATTTATAAACATATTTATGTTTCGTCAGTGTTTTCAAATAATATGCCTACTATTGACTCATGCGTGCATTTGAAAAATATTTTATAAAATATTTCTTAAAGTTAGCTTGATATAAATAATTTTGTGATTTATTTTAATTTTTTATAATTTCATTAATATATAAGTATGTAAGTATGAGTTAGTTTGTTAGGTACATTTTTAAAATGTAATACTTTTGTTTTAGCTTTTGAATACGTGGTATGTGTGACGGTTTCATTTTTCTTTTATATCAAACTTGTGATTTAAAAACAATTTCATATTTCTAGTATGCAATATATGTATGTAACTTTATGTATGCCATATATCTCACACAGTATGAATATATTATTTATGTTATATTCTGCGACTGTTCCTAGTTCGAGTAATTTCATTTTCTTTGTTTGCATATATGTATTTATATCGATGTATGTAGTATATTTTTGACAGCTAATAGTAAATACTTTAAGTATTGAATATGAACATACAAAAGCGGCTAAGTACAAATTCTTTTCACATTCATACGTATGTATGTATGTATGCACTTCGCTATTCATCTACATACTATATAAATGTGTATATGAAGTGTTTGTTGTCATTAGTTTATTTGGAGTATTTCTTCCGCTTTGGTTTTCTGACTTTTTTGTTGTAGATTTTTTTTTAATTAGCTCTATTAGTTTGTGTCTCTATGTACTTACTCTATATGCTCTAATTAATCTTTGGTATTTATTTCAAATATTTGTATTGTTTAAGTATTTACTTCGCTCTTTGTTCCATGAATGTAATTACATTCCTTATCTTTATGTATGTAGGTTTATAAAAATGTAGTTAAGTAACTTTTATAAAACTTTGAACCATTTTGTTGATTATTCTATTTTATTTTGTGCCAAATGACAACGACGATTGCGTTTGCTGCATTTGATATACATACGTATGTATCTAAATAGCTTACATTAATAGAAAAGTGTGCTTGGGTAAATTAGATCACACATTGAGGAAAGTTTGCATACATACTACATATATACCAATGTACAATATATATGTACATATGTCTATACGCGCATATACTTATGCATACATAATCTCACAAAGCACGGGTCATCATCATCGGCAGTAATGACACATCCGGCTTTGTACTCATTTTGTATTTTGTAGAAGTAATGAAGAGAATTTGAGAATGCTCAAAAGATGAGACCCGTTAGGAAACGAACAGAATTAAGTTTCAAAAATATAGTTTTTTCCATGATGTCCTACCTTAATGTGTGATCAAGTTGATCCAAGTTCTACTATTTATTTATTAAGCATATATGTATAATATTTAATTTTTTTCAAACGAAACTTGCACACACAAACTATTGTATACATGCTTTGGCACCCAGCAGGAAATACTAAGGTATTCTATAATTAGGTTGGATCATAATCATGATTAAATATATATTAACTAATAAATTGGAATTGATATAACTGGGGTAGTCTCAATTTTTTCAAAAAGAAAATGATTGTGTGAAATGTCGAGCTTCCGTTTTATTTACAATTTTTATTATAATATATATCTCCGACGGGAGGTCTCCGCTGTTGTAGTGATTTCAACCTTTTCCGTGGATGAAACCTAAAAAAAATATCTTTGAAAGATATTGTCCGTACAGTGAAAAATTTGTATTTTACTAAAATTTTGGTCGTTTTTGGCATGCCACAATTGGTATGGGGAGCTATACATATATAGAGCATGCAGAAAAAATTTAATAGTGAACGGATCATTTGTTTCCAAGTAATGACTATAGCAAATTCAAAATTTAGACGAAAAACGTGTTTATAATTGAAATGAGCTGATTGAAATGAGTGGCTACTCTTTAGAAGCCTGTAACTCAAGAAATGTTTCGAATATTCATTAAAAATTTAAGTATGTTATTTTTAAATACATATATACCTAGACTTTCAAAACAAGCAAAATAAAAAATTTATTTTTTCAAAATTTCTAGTATGCTCCTTAAGATTATAATTTATGAAATAAATTATAGTCAGGTTGATGTAAAAGTCTGAACAAAATCTTTTTTGTAGAACCGAAAAACTTTAATCACAATCAATGATAGTAGTTAAAATTAAGAAAAATTATAGAATTTATTCGAATTAATAATTAAATTTTTCAAAATGCCGAAATTCGGTGTTTGGTTTTAATAACTTTCACTATATCTTCTCAGTGGGCCCAAAAATCTCACTAAGAACATTTTATTAATCAAAATCTTTAAAAGTTTTAAAATTCAATTAAAGCCATTTTTCCTCCAGGGTGCATTAACATGTATACATATATATATCTATGTATGTATGGGTATTCGATTCTACAAATTATTTATGTATGCGACATAGCGCACTATACTGGCTTTCCCTAAATGCGATTCAAATCGAAAAAAGATCATTTTGGCTGATAAATATTATTTATAATATATTATTATTTATATTTAATATAAACAATATAAGTTATAAGATTTACAAGCATGTGAACTAATTTGATTAGCGCATTAATAACGTGATTGAATAACAAAATACATATATATGTATATAATTTCAATTTCTTTGGTTGTCTATTTGGTTTTACTTTGAACTTTTTGTTGTAACATACGTTGTGTATCAACTGAGGCTTAAGGGGTTATATCAACTTGTGAATTTCAAAATATCGATTTTTGGTTTCGTATATTTGTATATGAATATCGAGCGCTGATATATTTGAGAATATTCTCCGAAAATTTGAAATAGTTTCGGAGGTATGTGTGTATACGTAAGAATATCTTTACTTGGTGTATGCGCATCACAAAATGTTAAATATCTTATTCTTGCAACGTTGGTTTCAGAGTCGGTAAGGAGAATGTCCTCGACATGGTTGGACCGATTTACTTGTAATTTTCACATGACCTTCTTAGATATATTTGTTATGTTTGAAGGCCTAAGATTATGATAATAACTTGGTTTTTTTAAGCCACACTGCAGTGTAAATTTGTTCACAAAAATTAATTTTTTTAGGATGGCGCCATTTGGACAAAATCAAAAATAAAAAGTAAGAAACACTTCTTAGTTTTTGAATTTGAGTTAATTTTAACCAGAACCATCTTCCTCACCACCAGACGCCATTTTTTTGGGACTAATCGCCGATTATTAAAGTATATAAAATTCTGTGTTTGTACATTACTTTTATTTATTTATTAAATAACTATATATTATTTATTAATAACTGTTTAAAGCAAAATAAGCAAGAAAGGGCTAAATTCGGCGTGAACACGAACGTTTCATATTCTTGCAACTTGCCAGGTTCCAAGCTAGGGAAATACCTTCGGGTGCATAAGGTTTGTTAGAACAACGAAAATCAATATATGTTGTATATGGTAGTTTGGGTAATTTGTGTCCCAATTTCACATATTTTCGGCATTAAACTATAATATATACAATATTATACTTTCACTGAATTTCGCTAAGGTATCTTACTTATTTGCCGATATATGCGATATAAAGTTAGCCGGTAATTCGAAATCTATTACGTATATGGGGGCTATTATTATTATTATTAGAAAAGAATTCTTTTTGAATTTCTGTGATATATTGTATTTCACAGATTAACTGATATTTTCTATAAAATGTTCGCTATAAGAACTAGGTTCCACATATTTGGTATCTGGAGGCTGGAATATTTTAAGTCCGGTTTGGACAATTTTTGGTAATAATGTGGCGCACCTCAAATGCACTATTCGGGTAAAGTTTTATCCCATACATTCATTGGTGCTTGATTTGCATAGTGGAAAGTGAAAGAATCAGAAGGAATTTAAAATTGTGTTACATGGGAAATAGGCGTGGGTCAGATTTCGCCAATTTCTGACCTAAAATATGGGAATATCAAGATAATATTACATACTAAATTTGGTTGAAATCCGTCGATTAGGTCCTGAGATATGGGTTTTAACCGTAATGTTAGTGCCAAGCCTTGTGCCATTCTTCAATTTTGACCGCGGCTCCTATAAGGTCCTCTTGTATCATCCTAGGTGTAAAATTTAATGTCTCTAGCGTATTTTTTTTTTGCGATTTTAATAATGATCACCCGATTTAACCCATTTCTACAGTATCAGCAGGGGTGCTTAAGAGATTTGTCTTGAGCGGATTTGGTTGTTATAGCATTAGTGGCTTAGGATATAAACCTATTAGAGGGCGTTTTTTTTTTAACTTTTTTAAAAGTTGAAGCCCACAGCTGCATTCCCCTGTACCAAAAAACCAGTTATGTCACTTTATAGATTTTCGTTTAGTTGCGTTTTGTGTGCGTTCTCACTTTTTTCTCAAGGAACACGTCTTCCAAGTTTCATTTGGATATCTTAATGTTTACTCAAGTTACAGCTTGCACAGACAGATAGACATCCGGATTTTAACTCGTCTCGTCATCCTGATCATTTATATATATATATATTGATAACTCCATATATATATATAAATGATCGAGAAGTTTTAGGTGATACAAACAATCGTTAGGTGAACAAAGCTATTATACTCTGTAGCCACATGCAGCAAGAGTATAATAACAAAAAAACGTATTTTTTCTGATTTGCAAGTGTATATAACCCCTTAAAGCGAATTTAAAACAATTTCCTAAAATTATTTATATATAATTGTGCATGATGCTGTGAATTTAATCCACTCATATAATATATTATATGTATATTCACATAAGTATATCTATGTAATATATATGTAACTACATAATCAAGTACTAAAAGTTGTTAACAAAACAATTCTAGGCGCCTTACTTTAAGTCACACTGTCACTGAGACGGTCAAGTGTGTCTAATTTTCAACATTATATGCATGCATATTGATAGTTAATATAATAAATACATATTTTATGTTAATTTAACAATATTGTATATTTATAAATATTTTTTTTAAATTTTTTTCTTATCAATCATTTTTCTAAAAATGCGAAAAATTGAAAAATAATAAGCTGAACAACTTATTTCCATACTTACACTCATATCTATGTAAGTATGTATGTTTATGCATAATTAAATTTCCAATAATCGCATGTTTGTTTGTAAGTATGTATGTACGTATGACATTGTTAGCTAAAATCATTGCTCTTTACCAAAATTAACGTTCAATATAAATATATAAATCGTAAGAATGTTGTTCTTAATCATAAATGTTGCTGTTAGTAGGTACATTGCATTTAGAACTCGGTGTGACTCAAATTTTACATATACATACACATATTGGACAGTTGAGATAATTCTGCTCAGCTTGCAAGTACATATGTATGTATGTTTGTATGTACGTATTTATATTATATATGTATGTATGTATGGCTCTGTACGTATGTGAGTTATGAGTTTTCTGTTTCTCCTATATTTGTTTTTATATCTGTTGTTGTATCCTGAAATTCGTTCAATACTCTTTACTTAAATACTCATAAAAATACAAATTTCAAATTTCATTCGTTATAAAACATTTCATAGCCGTAAATCTGTACCTACATATGTATGTATGTATGTCTACAGTATAACAATCATTAAAACATTACATACATACTTAGTATGCGTGTGTGTGTATGTATATCCGAAACTATCATATGAAACTCGTACAAAATGCATATCACCCAACATTACTTATAATCCTTATCATCAAAATCATCATCACCATTATTATAATTATCATTATAGTCACCAAAATCATCATGTCATTATCATTATAATCGTCATCATCAAGATCAACATTAATAATCATCGTCATCATCATCATCATCGCCATTATCATCATCACCGTCATCAACATTATCTTCTTTATCATCATAATCACCATCATTATCATTACCTTAATCATATTAATCACCGTTTTCATCATCTTCATCATTTTCATCATCATCATCATTATAATTGTTGCTCGCCCTCAAATAAAAACTGTACTTAATATTATACTCACCTCTAATTAAGCTAGACTTATCTATAGTACTTGCGCACTGACATACAAACATTTAATACACCAATACGTATACACTTGTAAACATGTATGTGTGTATTTTTGTATGCACCTGCTCATAACATTTACTTAAACATCTATCATACATAAAATCTTTACATATACATACATATATAAATACATATAAGAAATGTGCGCCCTGATTACAATTTGCTTGTCACTTTGTATGCATTTGCTTCCCGTTACACTAACACCTACGTTTAGGATATGTATGTAAGTTACAACGCTCAATAACACACTTTTATATGTGTATGTGTATGGAGCGCTTTATGTTTGTTTTTTGTAAGAATGTATGGCTGTATGAAATCTTTAGTATAAATTGTAGTGTATTTGTTGGTGTTGTTGTTATTTGTTTCCATGTAATATATAGCAATGTTAATACGAATAATCATTTATGAAATGGCTACTTTGTTAATCTTTCAATTATCTGCTATTAATCTAAATGTGTTGTTATTGTTGTTGACTAACTTTCCTTTGCAATGCAATTCATAGTGTTTATTTATTTAGTTTTTGTTGTAATTTCTCCAAATGAATTACTCAAACATTTCTATATTCCGTCGGGGCGATGCCAGCGCGCTGCCGAGTGAGGCCTCGGTTTTCTTTAAGATCGAAACATGATGTCCAGTGCCGTCCCCCTGGCGATTGTGACATGCAATTATGGAGTCCTGTTTGTTAAGAACACCGCGTCGTTGATCGGCGAAAGAAATAACAGAATCCTGCTTTACCAGCTGATGTCGTCTGGGTTCTATAAATAGCAGGGAAATAACAGAAAGAAATATTTATGTTAATATGTATTATAGTGACAGACACCTTTAAGGATGAGGTTTATATAAAGAACCCTACAATTACTTTCAGCGTCTGTTCATCTTTGGAACTGATTGCGAGCAATTTCCTCTGTCGCAGTACTGTTCTCATTGTTTGAGCGCTATTGTGCCCTCCCCTCTGTCACACAGACTCATATAGACTCAGCACTCTGCTTGGGAGCTAAGTCTTCGGTGCAAAATAATTTCGAATGAAACTTTTCAGAAAGGCCCGAATTATAGTAGCCACTATTTATTACTTTCATACCAGAAACTAATGGAGGTCATGGAAGTTAGTTATCGTTGGGATAACTGCCTCTAACCACCTGGTTAATGATTCTCAGCCTACAAATCTAGTTCTAATCAAGCCGAAATTCAAAGCAATATCTAGCCGGAAATCTGGAATAAAAGACTTGGGGACGCTTTGGCTTATAAATAATATAAATATAATACAGACATCTCTCGGTGTACATCACGTTTTCAAAACGGGGAAAATCGATTTAGACACTTAGTTTTTTAAAGAGCCCAAGCACTTTACGTCATAGGAAGAGAAATACCACATCCATATAGCGGAATCTCGTTAAGGCGGATGAGGAATTTCATAATGGTCTCAATAGATGAAACAATTATAATTTTTTGAGAAGAGACTCTTCTTTGGGGTAAGGTTTAAGATACTAAACACTGTTGAACAATAGGTCACTTACCAGGCCTTTGGTCCACAAATGAAATCACCGAGTCTTGTTTCACAAACTTTTGTCTTTTACATTCCAACATGGCGGCGCTGGTGCTGGGCGAACCATAATTGTGTGGTGTATCCAACTTAAAGCTCGTGCCACGCCGTGAATCAATCGACATGTTGTCTTGCGTGGAGCAAGAGTCTTGACATTTATCCAAACCATTGCGTCTTGTATCCATATACGAAACAATCGAATCCTGTTTGGTTAGTGAAACTTTCGAACCATTACTATCCTGCTGGCAGAGCATGCGCCGCGATCCATCGCTAGAGGCGCTCTCTTGCTTGATTAAAAATTGTCTGGAGCCATGTGAATCCTGCTTCAGTAACATTTGCTGTGACAGATTGCTGTCCTGCTTCAACATGGCGTTGTGATGATGGCGACGAAGCGACTGATGCTCATAAATATAGGAGACAGCATTAGTTTTGCGCAAGCCAGGGCTGCTAGGACTCTTCCGTGAGCTATTTTGGTGATAGTGCGAGGATTTGCGAGTGCTGGTGGTGGACGAGGCAATTGCGACGTTATCATAATATCTGTAAAAATTAGGCTATGAGTATTATATATATTTAAGCGTAAGTCGTAGAAAAATGACCTTATGCGGGCACAGCATGATCGGGATTGTATAATGGCTGCGAAGCCACGTCGATACTTCTTGTTGAAAAATGCATATAAAATGGGGTTGATGCAGGAATTGGAAGAACCCAACCATTGCGCGAAGGGTGTCACCTTGTAGAGTACCTCACTTTCTTCGTTTGAGAGTTCACCACCTGAAAAAATAACAAAAAAAGGAAAAAACTAAATTAAAATAATTCATAAAAAAGTGTTCCTTGCGAACTCACCAAATTTAATTCTGGCGAAGATCACATAGAGTGGCAGCCAAGACAATACGAACAGTATAACAACCGCCACAAGCATTTTAATCACCTTCACCTTCGACTTCTGTTGCATGCGATCCATTTGTGCATCCTTAGAGTCACCGGGAATCGAGCGCGTGGACACCTTTATCCAAATCAACACATAGCACAGTGTTATCAAAGACATTGGCAGTAGATAGCAAGCCACTAAATGGGCTAGGAGGAAATATAGATTGCCATTTGAACCGGGTGGCCATACCTCTTGGCAGAGATAGAGGTTCGGCGCTGCCGGAAACGACTCAGCGGCCGGCACGAGATCAAAATATAAAAGCCAGGGTATTGTAGAGCTCAAGGCAATCAGCCAGATGCATAATATCATAAAGCGTGCCCGACTTTTTGTCATCTGCTTAAGTGGCCACCAGATTGCAATGAATCTGAAAATGTCAAAAAATATTTATGCATGCAATTTAGTGGCAGTAAAAGTGCAATTAAAAAGCACTAAGAAGTTAGCATATTGCTATTGAAAGGGCGTCATAAAAGTGGAGGTGAAATTATTGTAGTTTATGACTCAATTTCACATTTCGGTTGATGTCAACTGTTTACTGGTTTACACTTCTGTATTATATAGCTATATACAGTGGGATGAAATATGGAGGAAATCATGAGATTTTTTTAGAGAGAAGTATTTTATTAATATTATTCGTTCATTTTAATGCGAGCAAGTTATACATTAGTTCCTAACGTAATTGAGGAGATATAGATATTATAGAATGATTGAAGATTTCGTTTATGTATCAGATACATAATACCATCTGATCAAATTTTACACGGACTGTTGCATATAAACTGCGCGCACAAACCGACTCGATAAAAACATTGATTGGTCCTTGATTCCTTGATTGGTACAATCTTTTTTATGTTCGTGTGAAGTTGGATCTCTTTATGTCAATTAGTACGTGTTTGGCAGTTGTTTGTTTACAACGCGAAAAGTTTATCTGGCTATTTTTACCATGGAAAAGAAACTGAAAAACGAGTTTGCTTGAAATTTTGTGCTTCCAATAGATTCAAGACTACAGAATCGCAAAAGGTTTTTTAGGTAGTATACTTTATCACGGGCATAAGTATTTGAGTGGCAGAAAGCATTCAGTGGAGGTCGTAAATCCTTCGAAAACTTACATCATACAAGTCGCCCTCTGTTAATGACGCTAAGATCGAAAAGGTTAATGAAACTGTGCTTGAAAATCGGGTATGAAATGGGTATGAAATGTGTTAATGTTAGACTCGTACCGAAAGACTTTAATCTTTTACAAAATCCACTTTGAGCTGAGGACCCTACATTCATCAAACGCATCATTACCTGTGACCAGGCGTGGGTTTATGAATACGACGTCGAAACAGTCCAACAACTTAGAGAATAACGTACCGAAAATGAGCCGAAACCGAAAAAAGACAAAATTTGCAAAAGGCACTGAAAGCTATCCCAGTCGAGGCTTACAACAAGTGATAAATATAAGGATGAAATATTCCAAATTCGCGATTAATGTAAATTTGAGAATTTTCGAAACCTCCGCCGCATACTTGTACTTTCAAAAATATAACATATCTCTAAAATGCTTTTCAGCTTCCTCACAATCGTTGTTCAGGCCTACCATATGTCTCGGAAACCAATTGTGGTTCCAAAGAAAAGTACAACTAACTAACTAACATTCCTCTCATAAAGGAAATTATTGTATTTATATTTGAGCAGACTGGGTCAAGTAGTTTTATATTGAAGCTGTTATTTATTTCAATATTAGACTGGAGGATTAAATCAATCGTTTTACGAAACTTGGTTAAACTTAGTAATACAGTTCCAATATTGCTGGTATTGTATTGTGTAAACCATTCAACAAAAATTTTCGGGTGTGAACTAATGGGTATAGACTTAGCTGACCATTCGTCCCAGTTTGGCCGGGGCCGAATTCCGAGTTAAGCGTCTCGGCCGTCCCGAGCTTAAAAATTAAAAAAAACAAAAAGGATGAATTGAATAAAATTGTGTTGCTCTCTCACCTATTATATGTCGCGATTTTCAGTGAATTGTAACATGGAAAAAATCTATGACTAAAAAAACCGTCCCGGATTTTGTCGGTACAAATATGGTCACCTAAGTATAGAGCTTGATTGGATCGATGTAGATCTGTTTCTGTTTACTTAAAGAAATTATTTGAAACAGTGTCATTTCGACCTTTTGTCATGAAAAAGTATATACTCTCTGAATCATCTTTCAAAGATGAGACTTTAAGAGAGCGCCGTAATTGACCACCATCTGAAATGTTTTGAAGACAATTATTGAAACTTTTATCCCTAGAAATTGGTATTAGAAGTTAGTATTTACCGATCCTCAAGTGAATAACTCTACTTTTTATGATTTAAAGCTCTAAATATACCAGTTTTTTTAATATAATTTTATTTACTTTAAATTTTATTTTAATATATAACCTAATTCTAAGCACATGTGACTAATTATGTTAGTGACAAAATTCTAAGCTCTCTAACAGCTAATAAACTCACTGTCCATGGAAAGCAACACAATTTATGAAAATACTGAACTTGATCTTATTAGCTATCAATAACATAGAATGAACAAAAAATCAACACATAAAGTAGCTACGGCATCGATCATCGTCCAGTAGAACAGCTGACTCGCGGAGTGAGTGTCAGGGCGGTCATTCGTGCACATGAAAGTATATATGACTAGGCATGCGCATAGAGGCGACAAAGCCACATGTATATGCGTACATACGAGTACACACGTACTTGCATATATATTTTATACTTACGAGTATTTTGTCATAGTTGCAACTTTTGAAAAGTTACATTAATAGAGCCGCAATGCCAATCTCCTTGGAGCCCACAGTAGACTTGATTAAAGCATAGTGTTGCGCCGTCACCTCCACTACCGCTATGACAAACGCATTTGTATACCGGTAACTTACTTTCCAGCGCTAACATTGACCGCGGTCGCCCAGTTTTACTTTAATTTAACTCAGTTAAGTAGCGAAAAACGTCAAAATTGTATAAAAGCATTTGGAAATTCACTGAAATGCAACAGTCACATTAATCCCTCCGTTGCAATAACAACACTCCTTCCAATACTTTAAAATAGTTTATACTCCTTTAAACCTCAAACACAACCAAAAATGTTCAAAATCGTAAGTAGTTCTGGAAGTTTATGTAAATATTCATTTATTAATTTCTCCTTACACTCCGATCGCTTTCGAGTAGGTGCTTGTACTTTCCGTCATCGCCTTCGCTTGCGCCGAGCCTGGTGTTGTGGTCGCTCCTGCCGTACCTCTCACGCCGATCGTACATCACGGCGCACACGCTGTGCACTCGTAAGTAGTTAGCGTTAAACCAACTAAGAAATAATTAAAATAAGTGCAACATTTTGGAGTTATCGATAAAAATCGAATATAAGTATACATATAGAATCAAATGTATACATATATGAAGATAAATATTTAAGTATTTATCCCAAGTGGTGCCAATGGCCCGAATGGCTGGCGGTAACTGCATTGAGCTGGAAAATGGCACTCTTCTTTGTTACCATACTAACATATTCTTTGTAACTCAAATATTTTACGCATTTTTCTCTTTTTGTTTCCATTTCATTTCTTTGCTTAACGCACTCGCAGCATTTACTACAAGTATTAAGCATTTTCGTTTTTTTATTGCAGTCACGTAATTCATCATCCCGTTCCAGTGAAGACCGTAGTGACACCAATCATTGCCAAGCCAGTGGTGCCACTAGTGCCGGTCATAAAGCCAGTTGTGCCTGTAGTTCCAGTCCATCATGCCCATCCGGCCGTCGTTGTGCATCACTGAGCCCCGGCGGCATGGCGGCTGCAGACGCCAAAACACCAACGCCAGTCTCCTCTGCAGCCCCCGCAATCGTCGGTGAACGTTGATGAAAATCAACGAAAGGACTACTTCAGTTAATCGAATGCAACGATGGCTTAGTGCGTTAATATATGTAGATTACGAGCTCCCTACTCCTATCCCACTTCCCCTTCATTCTTACTTTAATTCTGTACTATGAAATCCCCGAAATTAGTTAAATACAACAAGCAAAACAACAATAAAATTGTGAAAATCATTTAGCACGCTATGTGTAAGTATGTTTCGGAAACGTGAACGAGCGCAACGGAAGGTTGTTAGTTCAAGCACTCACTATACTATGTTAAACATCGTTTTATATGGACAAATATTTGCAGAAGTTCGTAAAACTGCCAAAGGTTGGTTTAAGCATCGTGTTGCCTTTCACCTTTTTCGTTTTCTATTATTTTCTGGAAATTGGCTTTTGTTACCATTAACGCTAACTTACGATTAGTTCAAACTTATAGCATATTTCAGAGTGCTTATAGCAAACAATTAAGCAACAAGCGAGGTTTATAACCCCATCTATGGAGATAAATCATATCAGATATACATATGTATATATATTACAAGAAAGAATTTTAAAACTGGAACCTCAGATAAATTTTTTCTAAAAGAACAGTTGATCTTTGTAGATACTAGACCGAGTTTCTTCTGCTATTTGAGGGGTTATGTTATCGGTCTTAGCTCTGAGGATTCACCTCAAGTCAATCTTTATCTGTAGTGAATTTTCTTATTGGCAAAAAATTCTTAAATGATAGTGTTTTGTATACAAAATATGGGATTTAAACATTTTTTTTTTAAGTTTTATGAGAATGAGAATGAGATCTTATGAAGAATGACTTAATTTTACCAGGCTGCAGAGTCTGTATCAGCCATTATAAGTCATCTTAAAACTCTCTCGTCCTAAATTAATATTCAGAAATTTTTTGACCAATCCTTTTTGATCAGTTTTTCATTAACGATTTCAGAAAACATAATTGAAATATTTCATTCTGAATTTTAAGTTTACTTCAAAAAAAAAGGAGTCCCATCTTCTTTCATATATTATTTATTTTCACTGCAAGATATTTTGACTAAAAATTTTTAATTTTTTTAGATTTCTTTTAACCACACTCTACTTTGATTTTTTAACAATTGTAGAATAAGTTATAATGAAATATAGTAAATTCTGAGTTTTTGTGTTAATTTGAATTTAAGTTTGAAATTTTTACATGACCTTCATAGATAGATTCTGATTTTAAACCACTTTGAAGCGTAAATTTGTACACCTTTTTTTAGGGAAATCGGCAGTTTGTCAAAAATGTAGTCAAATTTTACTTTGTATACAGCGATGAGACATTTTTTTGTTTTTGTGAATTTGAAAGAATCTTAAGCAGAAACATCTTTTTCACTTTCTTTTTCTGAAGCTGCTACTGGAGATCGGGACCATGGAAATCCAAAATTTTTCAAAATGAATCACAAATTATTAATATGCAACAAATTTCGTAACGGCACATTGATTTTATTTATTATTAAGTTATCAAACAGAATGCCTCCTCAAAAAAATTTTACAAAATACTCGTTTTTTCTGGCTTACAAGCAGGGTTGCGAATTTTTTAATTAATAAATTTGGGATCAAAAATTGCTAATAAATTTTTAGACGAAGACTATAATGCAAATGAAATTAAATAGCACGACTTCTCACTGTGAAGCTAAGTACCGCCTCTTGTAATCCGTATACATATATTCAGCAAATAATATATATCTTAATTATACATGGTTAAGTAGCATTTAGATTTTTTGTATGTTTAATTATACAAAATCTCGTTTTGTTTTGCTTTTGTAACTGATTTGAGTTTCGCACGGTCGACATGATAGGCGGCAATGTTAATTTACATGTTACAAGAGCCCGTTAAATTAAGGACTATTATGAAAAGTGCGGAGTGTGGATATATGCTTTACTTACCTATCCAGTGAAACGGCAATTAGACTGTAGACGGATGCTGCTACAGATACTCCCTGTATATATGGCACTGTCTTGCACATCAGCCAGCCCAGCATCCAGGCTAAAAGAAGAGAACAAAGACAATTAATTTAAGTAACTGGCAATGAGACAGACAATTAACATAATAGAGCCATTAACACATACAAATGTATGTATATATTATTTATATATTATATATCTATGTATATAACATAAATATATATATATAGTATAATATATATATTTATTTTGGTTTTATATTTATAGCATTACGAATGTTACGAATTTGATTCTAATGTTTTCCATTAATGCACGGTTAAGTAGACTTCAGGATTCAATTAGTTTTTTATTGAGTTAATGAAATGGTACCATTAAAGTACCTTTTTTAATTGTTATTTAAAAAAGAAATTCAATTTTCCCTTTTTCCATTTCAAACCAATGATTTTAGATAATTTTTCAATCTCTCCATGAGTCCGGCTTTTATTTCGTCCCCATCATACCCAAAACTGACTTAATACAAGTAAAAGCAGTATTTGATCGATATTGGGCAGATTATTGGATTTAGTTTTAGAATTTTATAATTTGAACTTTTTGAAAAATACTTTTGTGATATATGTATAATATTTTAAGTTATTTTCGGCTGAAAAACACATTTTTATATCCTCAACATTTGTTGCATATATTCACGAAATTTGGAAAGAATTATTGTTCAAGGCACCGCTAAAATCAAAAAATCAAACAAAACGATCCAATCGGACCACTATAGCATACTTGTGTAGCCTCCGTACAAGCTGATCGATCAAAATAAAAATGAAGATCTTTTCATACTCTTTTATTTTATAAAAAATTTCCCCGTGAATTGTATTATACCTTCGGTGCAGACAAAGTTAACGTTTTTTTTTATTTATAGGAGTCTACTACCTACAAGTATATATTCGTACACATATACTTATGAATTGCGGATCCATATAGTAAATCAAGCACGAAACTTGTACACGTAAATGCTTTATCAGCAGAAGAGTAGATGAAGTGCTCTTGGCTTTGCACCTACTTATGTAGATGCGTTGAGTACATTTATCTGCCTGTATATAGATATGCGCGTATGTTTATTATGTACTTATACACATACACTGTTTTCTCAAGCCTGCTTCAAAATGTCATTCAACAAATGTTGCGTATACGCCGTGAAGGACGAGAGATGCTTTTGCATTGGCATTGATTAACCATGCATACAAATATGTATAAGTTTATGTGCGTATGTGCGCATGAACAAAATGTCATTACCACCAAAGTGAGTTAGAGAGCAAAGAAAAAGGTAAAATCACATTCTTACCACTTAATTACACCTGAGGTTAATATGTGTCCTTAAGGACGCTGGACGGTACCAAAGTAATACCTATTAAATCGTTGTGATATATGGGTGGCTATATAGTTTGACCAGAATTTAAATTAATGCCTTTGTGCAATAAAAGGCACGTGTGCTAAAGAGATAACAAGTTTAATAAAAGTTATTTACTAATAAAAATATTAGTCAAAAAATTAATATACCGAAGGTGAGGCAATGATATTTAAACACTTTTAATTGTCCAGTTACGTGCTTTGTTAAAGGGATTATTTAAATCGAGAACTAAAAGCATTCAATTGGAAGCAGCTCAATTCATTCAAAGAGAAAACAGCGCCGAAATGATATACATACATTTGGCCTTCCACGAGTTTTTTTTATGTAAAATTTTAAATAGAATTGTATATATGCAAAAAATAAAAAATTCAAACCATAGAAAAATTATATTGCTCTGATAAAAAGTATTATCTCTTGTGCCGATTACAGCGATAAGAAAGGTAATTGAGGTGTAAATTAACCGATTACCCCCTGAAAATATTTCTCAGCCAAAGACAATATTTCCGTTGACAATTATTTTTTATTGAATACAGTAAAATCAAAAATTTAGACCAGTCAAGCCACTATGGATTTTTCTCATGTTTTCAGCACCAGGGAATACGTGGTAAATCCCGTTGACAAAAGTTATTAAGCATAAAACTGCTTACGGACATTTAACTCAACGTTTTTACGTTTTTCCTGCTTTGAGCAAGATTTTTGTACTTTTACTTTTACGAGCAATACAATAAACACTCTAGTTGACTTTCCCCATTGTTCACATGAGCAAACCTTGCGAATTCTCATTTTTATAACGGAAACTGAAAATTTGCCTTATAAAATATTTTACACACGTGCTATGCACACGAATCTTCTTACATTTTTACATTTATAGAGATGTTGCAATCGTTGTTACAACACTAAATTTGATCATAGCTTTCAATATACTACAAATATAAATTTATTTGCAATACATTTTTTATTTTATTATCGAGAACATATTATGTGTAGTGTATTTGGGCGAAAAAATGAGCTTAATTTAGGACGAATGTGAAGTATACACATGTTAGAGATCCTGATTCCTGTTCAAATTTAGCGAACGATTTTATGATACGCTTTTTGTATACTTTTTATGTTTTTAACACCTCCTAAAAACTCCTTTAACCCTTTGTAATTTTAATAGTATATATGGAGAATTTTACGTAAGTAAATTATTTATGTTTTAAATAGTTCTCTTCGACTCAATTTTGAAATTTAAATAGTTTCGTTAAGCAAAAATAATAGTCGAGTTGATATATGGTTATTCAACATTCGGATGATACTGTTGGCCTCACTGACAACTTTCGTTGTTGATTTACGTGAGTACCTGCCGGCGACGGCCTTACCTCACGGTGTTCCAAAACACAACGTATCAATACAATGCGTTGATAAGCGCCCCAAACAATACGAGCTATTTGCAAGTATTTATTTGGATACCAGTGGCAGTGTGTCTGGGTCCACACTACCATCTTGGTATGATTCGAGGCCGACCTAAAACCTCTTCCGTTTTCGGGTACGGAACCCAGTTGCTTTTTGCAACTTTATTTTAGAACTGAAAAAAACAGTTAGGCTGAATTTGCAGTTCTTCCTGCATTTAGGTTTCAACCACAGCCACCACGAATCTCCCCAAAGGGGCCATAACCCAATGAGCAGATTAGACCGAAATCCAAGGGCTTTCTGTTCCCCGTGGTACCAGAAAGTCTCCGGTAAGACTGCGTAGCCGAAACTACTGCCAGTTGAGCAACCCATTATTCAATGACTGGTGACATTTGTCGCTTGAACTTCAAATGTCTTTTTATTTGCTTTTTCATTTAAAGTCTATAATATCAGTTCAAACTGAGTATTATAGCACTATTTCTGACATACTATGCTGATATTACTGAGCAAGGTACATAATAACAGTCATAGTGCATTTGGCTTTTAGTCGCCTTTTACGACAGGCATGCCTTACCGGGGGTAAATTCTTACCCTTACCCGCAGGGGGGGTCTCACTGACAGTCAACATTAATAAATTTCTTCTAAACGTTTTTTAAATTACAAATGATTTCAGTTTTAAGTTTAAGCTCTAATACATATGAAACAGGCATACTAAAATTTTTGGTTTGGTCATGTTATAACTATTACTTTTAAGAAAAATTGTTCGTTTTTATTTATTTTTTCGCTACACTATTGAAACAAAAAGAATTAGTTTGGTATTTATTTGAGGATAGAGTCCAGTGCTACATTTCATTAGCATTCTATTAAACCATACCGTTTCATTGATTTTAGCTTGGCTTCCGTTGCCTTGGATAAAAATCGATGCCAAATGTAGTGAACGTACCTTGTTAAATAGAAAAAAAATTCCTTACAAAAACTTGAGTTTGGTCAATAAGTATGTATGGCAGCTATATGCTATAGTGGTCCAATCTGAACAATTTCTTCAAAGTTTGTACCGTTGCCTTGATAATAAACCATCCCAAATTTTGTGAAGATAACTTTTCAAATAAAAAACTTTTGCATACAAGAACTTAATTTTAATTGTTCAATGTGTATGGGTGCCACGGTTCCGACAAATGAGCAGCTTTTTGGGAAGAAAAGGACGTGTGCAAAATTTCAAATTGATTTCTCAAAACCTGAGAGATTAGCTTGCATATATACAGACGGACATGTCAAAATCGTGACTTAGCTTATCACTCTGACCATTTATATACTTTATAGGGCCTTCGAAACATTCTTATTATACCCTGTTCCGGGTATAAAAATTAATAAATGATTGTGAACTCACAAACAAACAGATGGATGGTGACTTTGACAGATAAGCTAGCAAAGGCACACACCCTTTTTAATACGTTATTATTAGCTTGGGTTGTATGTATGTAATGGAATCTTAGAGTTCAATTTTCACCGGTTTCCAGAAGTCTGATCAACTTGAAACTTTGCAGACTTGTTAAGGACCGATGACAATGTAATAATTTGATAACAGTTTCCCATTATTTTAAAGGTGGGCGTATCTCCGCCCCCTAAATGGTTTAATGTATATATCTTCCAAACCGCTAAAGCTAACTGAACCAAATTTGCTGAGAGGAAGTCCTTTTAGCCGAAGCATTAAATTTCACAAACAAGATGGTAGGGAAGAGCTTTATACAAGGAAGTGTAAAAATTCCTTTAAAGATTAAATTAATTTTTTTAAACTATTATTTTATTTATTAATTTATTACACATAAAAAGAATTCTTCTAGGTAAGGTAAAGCACATACCTATAAATTTGATATTCAAGGTGTGTTGAAAAATTAACCGAAATTTTAATAATTCGCCAGTTTGGAGAATCAAATCGTTTAACTTTATTATGTCGATATATGTACATACAATGAAGTACGATACAATTTTCTGCTGTATTCATTGCTTACTTTGTCTGTAGCAACCGCTAAGGTTAGATGTGTTTTTATGAGCTTGACGAATTTCGTGTTTTAAAAGAAATGTATAAATTGGAGACGATTGAGCCTTAGTTTCAACGTTCATATCCGTAAAACCATGTTTCGTCACCAGTAATAACACGTTTCAGTAATTATACATCGTCATTGACCTCATTTACTGATACTTGAGCAACTTTCATTCGCTGCTGTTCAAAATTCATACCTAAAACATTCAAAACAAAAATTTGAAGGCATGAGCCAATCGATTTACCAAAA